CCATCGCAAGCAATCAAACAAAACAAGCAGGAACGAAAGGTACGTATATGTTTGTAGGAATATGAAAAAAAGTTACTCACGCACTGCACAAAATTCGCAAAATAAATATTAGAGACGTTAATTACTGCCGTAGACGCCGAAACACCAACGAGCCGTAAATTAAATGCGATTAAAAAATGTACTAAACCAAAAATTATTTTCGTTCGTAACAACTTCACCCTTTCAAGGCAAGTTTCGAATATAAACTGAAGCTTTATATTTAATGAATAAACACCTCAGGAACCTCCGCCTATGATTTTACGAGTTTTACGACCGTTTTATGACTTGGGCCCTCATTTTGTGCTATCGACAAATTATGAACGGACTATAGAATAGTGAATTACCTAGAGTCAAATAATCTGATATGTAATAATCAACACGGATTTCGAAAACACCATTCTATAAAAACAGCGACCTACAACTTTCTTAATATCATATACTCTGAAATTGATATTAACAATTTTGTAATAAGTATATTTTTTGATCTGTCAAAGGCATTTGACACTGTGTCCACATAATCTTGGTTAAAATCCTATATAAGTGGTCGTCAAATATAATAATTTCGTGTCCAAGGAACATGACGTAACATTAGGAGTTCCTCAGGGATCAGTATTGGGACCTTTACTGTTTGTAATATTTGTTAATGATGTTATTGATATTGATAATTGTTATATAACTATGTTTGCAGATGATACCACAATGACAAATACTGGAGCCACATTAGAAGATATACTAACAAGGGACAAAGATGTTATTGATAGATTTACTTCATGGTGCCAACGTAATCATTTAATATTGAATACCTCTAAATCTGTCTCACTGAAATTTTATAACAGAAAAAATAACATCCCAAGGGAAATTGACCTTACTGATGAAATAATGATGTCACGTGACGTAAAATTTCTAGGAACTATATTAGATGAATCTCTAAATTGGGCTCTGCATATTGATAGTGTCTGCAAGAAACTAAATTCAGCTTTTTTTGCAATAAAACAAATGAAATTGTGTGTAGATTCACAAAGCCTTCTAAGCATATACTTTGCAATGGCATATCCACATGTTTCTCTAAATATTATGTCATGGGGATGTGGTAGAGATTTTAATAAAATATTTGTTGCCCAAAAACGTATTATAAGATTAATTTTTGATATGAACTATCGTGATAGCTGCAAACCTATACTCATAAGGGAAAACTTGTTATCAGTTCCATGCATGAAATGTGTAACATATTTAAGAAGTCACCTTGCATCTTTTGAAGTGAATGCGGCTACTCATAACTATTGTATACGTCATGGTGATATGTTGAGAATACCCCCTCACAAAACAACTAAATTTAAAAATTCTCCACTATATAACTCAATGACACTGTACAATAAACTACCAAATGCTATTAAGGAGTCTAAATCGTATGAAATATTTAAGAATAACACTAAAAAATTCTTAATAGAAAAGTGTTTCTATAGCGTACAGGATTATTTAGGACAAAAATTCTAATTTTAAGATCCTTATTATTAATTTATACCTTCTATAACTGTGATACCCATATTCTGTTGTGATATTTGTCCAAGTTTTTTTATTTATATATGACAAATAACGATTTTAATTGTTTTTATATTATATAGTACTTCTATTGACTTACCATATGTTCATTAGTTACCGAAATGGCTAATAAATATTATTATTATTTATGCAAATGACCTTCGTACCATACACGGTCGAAAGCCTTCGAGATGTCTAAAAGAACGACATGAACTTTACAATTATCGTTTAGCTTTGCTATGGTATTTTCGACCAGTTTTCGAACAAACAAAATTAATTCCAACTAGGAAGGATGTACCTTCCACTGCGCCACCTGCAGACAAGGTCCGGAAACAAGTCCGAAACCGGTCTACTTGTGACGAATCTTCCAAATGGAAGACGTTGTACAGGTGCCTGATGGTTTTACTTCAGCTTTCTGCGCGGCATTAGCTGGGTTAGTCGTTGTTTTTTCGTGGGGCGTCTGCCACACGTACCTACAACTACTAAGTCGGAGCAAACCGCTGACACGTGTTTCTGGCTATTGGCCTCATAATATTTGGACGATATACATATCTCTCCCCCTCCCTCTCTTACCTGTTGTTTCCTATTCCTCTGACGCTTTTTTCTACCATTGCGATAACTGTACTTTCCTCCACTAAGCAACCACCTGACGATATCATCTCCACTTGCGGCATCAAACCAACTGCCGGAGTAGCCAGGAACAATGTCGCGAAATACCTCGAATGTGACCACACTGGTATTTTTTTCAATTTCGCTCAAATATTCGGTAATAGTCGATATCTCGTTGATGCTAGACTGCACCCTGTGTCGTTTTTGACTAACCACAGAATTGTAGTTCAAATGGATTCTCTTTTTCCGAATATTGTAGTTGTACAGCTTTTCGTTCTTTGACTGTCCCCCCACCCTCAGTATATTCTCGGTGACCGGAAGTATCCCTTCGAGAAACTGGTCTAGGGCGTGGTTAGTGAAACAGATAACGAGAATCGGGGTGTTTTTGAACCAGATATGCATGTTGCGCAGCAGCGTGTGGACAATTTTCAGACCTAGGAATGTTTTGCCCGTACCTAGAGAATATTTAAAAGTCAAGATTGCAAGAAGTTAGTATAGGAATCGTGATATTCATATTTTGGTAAAATTCAAAGAATGAAAATAAAAAAATGATGCTGAAAAAGGAGCAGATAACAATAGGACTGGTGGTGCAGAACAAAAAATCTTCATCATCTGCAATATGTGATGGACTTGGCCGTTACTTGTTGAAAAGCCATAACATACTCAAGCAACATTTGTGGGATTTCAACTGGGCACTTTACAAAACCGCAACATAATAATATTATGATGCATCTTCTACTGGTTTGTCAACGACTGCTACCCAGCTCTGTTAGTAATCACATCGAAAACTGAGATCGTATTGCCATCGCCCTCTAGTGGTTTGGGTAAGTACTAAAAATTTCACATGACACGAAAATGTCACTTCCGAGCTTCTATGGGCATTGTATTAATTGACAATAGTTTCTTCAAGCATTTCCATACAATGATATAGGCGATTTCATATAATGTATAAAACCGCTTGAGGAAGCTACTTCATAGCGTAAAACACGTGTTGCGTTTTCATACAATGAGATAGGATGTTTCATAAAATGTATAAACACGATTGAGGAAGATATTTTATTGCGGTTTCGTAAACTGTTAACGAAACGGTAACACGTGTTTAGCTATACAATAGCTTCCTTAAGCGTTTTTATACAATGAGATAGGCGTTTCCATACAATGAGATAGGTGGTTTCATAAAATGTATAAAAACGCTTGAGGAAGCTACTTTATTGAGGTTTTGTAAACTGTTAACAACACGTGTTTAGCTATACAATAGCTTCCTTAAGCGTTTTCATACAATGAGATAGGCGTTTCCATACAATGAGATATGCGGTTTCATAGAATGTATAAAAACGCTTGAGGAAGCTACTTTATTGAGGTTTTGTAAACTGTTAACGAAACGGTAACACGTGTTTAGCTATACAATAGCTTCCTTAAGCGTTTTCATACAATGAGATGGGCGTTTCCATGCAATGAGATAGGCGGTTTCATACAATGTAAAAAAACGCTTGAGGAAGCTACATTATTGAGGTTTTGTAAACTGTTAACAAAACGGTAACACGTGTTTAGTTATACAATAGCTTCCTTAAGTGTTTTCATACAATGATATAGGCGTCTCCATACAATGAGATAGGCGTTTCCATGCAATGAGATAGGCGTTTTCATAAAACGTATAAACACGCTTGAGGAAGCTACTTTGTTGCGGTAACACGTGTTAGCTATACAATAGCTTCCTTAAGTGTTTCCATACAATGAGATAGGCGTTTCCATGCAATGAGATATGCAGTTTCATAAAAAGTATAAACACGCTTGAGGAAGCTACTTTGTTGCGGTAACACATGTAAGCATACAATAGCTTCCTTAAGCGTTTCCATACAATGAGATAGGCGTTTCCATGCAATGAGATAGGCGGTTTCATATAATGTATAAAAATGCTTGAGGAAGCTACTTTGTTGCGGTAACACGTGTTTAGCTATACAATAACTTCCTTAAGCGTTTTCATACAATGTGTTGCAGTTTTGTGAACTGTTCAATGAAAATCTCACAATGAGATGTTACTTGAGTGTAATATTTACTGACCAAATTGAGCGGTACGCTTCTGATGGTCACTCCATATATCGGGAATGGAATAAAGTACCACAAAGACAAACAGAAAAATTGATCAGCCTATAGCCAAAGACAGCTTTTCATATAACACCCAACAGTATCAAGCTCACCTGGTGGACCTTGGATAACACAGAAATCCTTGGTGAGAGCTGCTTGGAAAGCTGCATCTTGGGACTCATTAAAACCGTAGAACTTCCTTTCGCCCCATTCCAGCGGGCAAAAAGACTGGTCTTCTATCATGTACAACTCGTCTCTTTTCCTCAGAAGATAGTGAGGAGGCCGAATGTTGGTTTTTACCCTGATGATGTAGCGTTCCATCGGAAAATTTTCTTGTTTCATCGTTTTGAGTACGTTCAGCACTTGATAGTAAGGTTCAAAGTAGACGGTACTCTCGACCATAATGTACCGCAGGTCGTACATGTTCTCAGGCAGGTCAACATCTTCACTGAAACCAACGAACAACTGGCCGTTTTCTAACAAATCCTTGACGTCGCGTTTGGCCACTTTGGCGAAGAGGACCGTCTTGAAGTTATCGCTGGTGAAGCACAGCAGAGCTCCAAACATGAACCTTCTGGAATTTTCGTACTGGAATATTCTTTTTTTTGTGCTGAAGTCATACTGGATTCGGAAGCATTTTTGCTCTGTCACGGTCTCGGCGTTCAGAAATTGGACGCCTTTGTAGATCCTCACGTCGTCGAGCTTAGCTTTGGGGTTCTTCAAGTACCTGAGAAGAGACGTTTTGGAAATTTGTGATAGAATCATGAGACAATTGATGATGAGTTTCAGTGACATTTCCAAATACCTTAATACCAAACACACTTAATATCAATAAATCATGATTATATCAATGATTCATAAATAATAACTGTTTTTAGGGGGGATTCCTAGTAACTGTGGGGATTGTAGGGGTTTTTGATTTGGGCTTTAGGAAGATAAATTTTTGAGAGTTGGAAACACTGCCGGTATTTTCTTATTTTCAATATTTTAAATATTTATTAAAAAATTATTGAGTAATCATTATGCCTTAGTGAGAAACCAAGCTATTTTAACTTTGTGACTCATCTAATTTTACTGAAATGCTTCATTTTTACAACTTTCACATAATTTTTGACACGGCCAACCTCAAAAACAATAAGTCTTAACTTTATTCCGTAAATTCGAATATTAATGTCATTAAAACCTGTTTGTGTTAGGTTGGTAACTGTTAGGTTGGTAACATCTTTGTAACTAATAACCTCAAGCTGGTTGTTACATCCTGTTCCTATTCTGAATACTCATGTTGTAAAGTGTGTTTGTCCTAAATAATAAACTTATTACTATTGCTAACATGTGCTTATTAATTAGTTCATCCAAACAGTTTGTATCTTTTCCCTGATGATGATAATAAAATTTATCGAAATATTGGAATAACGGTTTTTGTTTCACACCGTGACTATACAATTCCTAGCCGTTTCCACATCGGTACCTCATAATAATAACATTTATTCTCAATGATCTTCAGTAATATTCATGTTTTTTCTTATAAGCCTCACCTACATATTGCCCCTCTCAATGGGGCAACAAAATCCTCTCTTAATAAACGAAACTGAACGTCCAAATAGTGTTCCACGTCTCGATAGGGCCCTTCAATGACATTGGGTCTCAGAAAAGGAGCCTTAGGTTGGGTAACTTCCACTGCGCTGGGGTAGACACTAATTTCCCTGAAGTTATTCGGAGGTTCCAACATATTTGCCCCTACCGTAAACACTTTTGTTTTCTGCTCGATTTCCATTGACAGTTTTTCGGCACTGAAATAAAAAAATCGTAGAAACAACTCTCACATAAATATCAAACATGCGTGACAAAAAACCCCGAAATCAAAACTACTTTGTTAATCTACCGCAACATATCTTTTATCACGCCATCTGTGGGATATTTCCCCAATCAGTGATGGAAGATAAGAGACTTACATGTCGAACAACTGGTCAACTTCTTTTTTGATGCTGTCCGATATTTTTAGGGTGTGGGAAGTTTCGATATTGGGTATGTTCAGTTTAGCTGCCTTAAGGAGCTTCAAAGTGACCTCACAGGAAGAAGTTGGGATGATGTCTTGCATGTTGCGCGTAACCTGTATCATGTTGTTCCAGAATTGATCGGTATCTTTCCAAAATTCGGTGTTGCGATTTTTTTCTTGACTCGTCTGCAATTGAATGATTTGGGTAGATATCAAAAACATCTTATTTTCAGCTGGGTTGAACTCGAACGCATATGAAGTTTATCTTCCTATAATATTAGACTCATATCTGAAATCCCTGAAGAATACAATTTGTACATTTTGCTGACTCACATACTATCAACTTTTTCGAAAAGCTTATTGAGTTTATGGAAGATTTTATGAAGTGACTTGAATAGGGCCTTTCATTACATGATATTGGAACAGGCAAGTAAAAAACAGCACATACTGTATATATATAATCAGATAAAAGGACAATATTGGAACAGGGCATCCGAGTCACATAATAATAATAATATTTTATTGGTTCTTCTGGATCATAACTCAATGATATAGAACAAGTCAGTGTAATATGATATAAATAAACTTATAAAATAAAAAAAATGTATATATGGGATATGAACAGTTATGTAAAATTATATATTAAAACTTATACTAACATGATTCGGCAATTTGTTAAATAGCCTGATACCCATGAGAATTTGACTTGATTCTGATCTAGCCAGTCTATGATTTGGTATTTCTAACAATGTTGAATTTCTTGTGCCGTAATTATTTTTGTTTAAGAAGGTAAAAGGTCGCTGATCCGATTTTACAAAAATCAACAGCTGGTACATATAAATGCATGGGAGAGTTAATATTCTTAAAACTTTAAATAGATCTCTGCAGCTAGTACGTCTATTTACACTCTGAATGTTTCTGACAGCTCTCTTCTGTAAAATAAATACCCTTTGTGCCTCACGTGATTGTTGAGTGCAATTGGGCATGATAGTACATGAGTACCACCGACTTATCTATAATTTTACTGAGTTGATAGATACAGTAACACATAGGCGTTATTTTTTTACATATTTCATTAATATGTTGATTCCATTTACAATCTTCAGTGAGAGTGAGTCCTAGAAATTGTATTGAATTCACCTGTTTCATTAAACCGTGCTGTAATTTTAACAGTAAACTGTGATCATGACCATTTGGGGCATAACTAAATCTTAGGAAGGATGATTTTTTATCATTGCAGATTAATTTATTGCTAGAAAACCAATCCTGGGCTTATAAAATTTCCCTGTGAGCCAGGTCTACTGTGGATGTAACATTCTTTCCACTAACCATAACTCACGTTATCTTTTTGCTCATAAATTCTGATATGTTATAGTAACATTAATTACATAGAGTTTGAGCTTTCTATTGAAAACATCGATGTTATTTTCCATGCTTATACAGGCAGGCAGATGATTCAGAAATTGAATTCCTTTGTGACATTTTAATTTGTTTTTGAGTTTGAAATTTGACTAGTAAATGCGATAAAATGGATTTTCCAATAGGTTTCGTTTACGAGGGTGCTAGAGAAAATAGTTTTGTTTCCAGTTAGTTTTTTTTTATGAAATTTTTCTAGAAGTTCATAAAAGGTTCATAGTTTTCAGAAAATTTCTTCAATGTTAATGAGGGTTCCATGAAGTAAGATTTCATAATGTGAATTCGGGGAATTTAAAGTTAATTAGAGTTTGATTCATAGTTTTCAAAGCTTTTTAGAATTGAAAATTCGAAATTTTTGTGGTCACATCATTTTCAACAGGATAAATAATCTGAAATGCAGACATCTGCAATACAAGTTAATGTTAAACTAAGTTTCAAACAATAAAAACCCACCTGAATTGCAATAGTAGACACGAACTTGATGACGTTATCAGCAAAAGCGCTCCTCAGGGCAAATTCTAAAAGCTCAATCTTAGATGACTGAAAAGAACATTCGCTTATCTTTGACAAAAGTCGCAGGATCAACACTACCATATCATTAGACATTTCTCTGTTCTCAAGGACCTCCTTGAAACCATTCTTGTCGTTACTCAAAACTAAAATAATGTCCTCGAGGTTTTCCTTCATCAGCAAATCCTGAACCGATCTGAACCCCATTTGTCTCATCTTTTTTGGGTTGTGAGGGCCATTGACAAAGAGTCTAAGATCTTTATTGGGTCTTTTCGGGTTGTGAGGGTCATCGACATTGAGTCTAAGATCTTTATTGGGTCTTTTCGGGTTGTGAGGCCTATCGAGAAGGAGTCTAAGATCTTCATAGGGTCTTTTCGGGTTGTGAGGGTCATCGACAAGATCTTTATTGGGTCTTTTCGGGTTGTGAGGCCCATCGAGAAGGAGTCTAAGATCTTCATAGGGTCTTTTCCTGGTGTTGAGTTCATTTACAGAATGAGGTCTTCGATCTCTGCTGCGGCTCCTGCTATGGTGTCCATTTGGAGGGCTGACGGATCTGCCGTTATGCGAACGAGAACTCCGATCTCTTGGACGTGACAAAGTCCTCGGGTGGTCTATGAAATGAAAGAATTGGCTTTAAGAACATATAGTGTGACCAAGTACTAAAAGGTCTACCTTGGGACAAAATTTGAAATGTTTATTAAAGTTTCAGGGCATACTACGATATTTTTTCTTAGTCGAAATTCGGGGTTTTTTATTAGCGATTTTTTTATTGAAAAAATCACTACGCCACTGGATTCAGAGTGCCTCTAAACAGGTGTGACCAAAATTTCATAAAAAAATATTCATTATTAACAAAGTTATGACAACTCAAAAATTCGAAAACTCACACAGCTAACAGTCACAAAATATCATTTTTTTTTATGATTTCAACAATAAAGTGCCGCCAGATAAAAAAAACAAATAGTGTAAATATTTTTAATGAAAATAACGGAATTACATTCACACAATCTACCACGTATTTCGATACATGTGTCGTAGCTTACGAATGTTTCTGATTACGTTCCTTAGTTCTTGAGGGCTTATATCTGCACATACCTGTCGAATTCTTGCACAAAGTTCATTTCTATCTCTTTTCTTCTATCTTTTGTAAACCTTTTGTGTGACAAGTCCCCAGAGAAAAAAGTCCAAAACTGTGAGGTCTGGAGATCTGGGTGGACACTCTATAAACGGACTACCACGGCCTATCCATCGGTTTCGAAAATGTTCATTAAGCCATTGCCTCACAGCTCTGGCATAATGAACTGAACACCCATCTAACTGGACAATTAAATTTGATCGTTCAATGATTGGCAGCTCGTGAATAGCATCCCAAAACTCTGAAAATTCTGGAAACCTCTGCGCATTAATGTTTTCCTCAAAAAAAAAGGACCAATAATTCGTTCGTTCAATATCCCACACCAGACGTTGATTTTTTGGGAATACTGGCTTTTACAGTGTATTACCCAGTTAGGATTATCCGCTGCCCAATAGCGACAATTCTGTGATGACACTACTCCATTTGTAGTGAAAGTGGCTTCGTCGGTACATAAAATATTTTTTAGGAAATTTCTATTGTTTGAATATTCCCCTTGGGCCCAGGCGTCTTGCTTCGTCGCCTTCTTGAAGTGTATGTAAAAATTTTGGCTTGAAAGGTTTAATATTCTTCGCCTTGAGACATCTCCGAATAGTTTCTCGTGGAATATTCAAATCTAAAGTGGCATTCCTTATACTGGCATTAGGATTATTTCCGAAATAATCTAAAATGATTTGATCATTCCTGTCATTCCTGTTTCGTCTTTGTACTGGATTATTTTTTAACATCATTGTTGATACTGCATTTACCGTACCGCAGCTAATACGAGGACGATCTATACTCTACAAACCTCTCTAGCACTTCTAACGTCATCTCCCGAAAGGCGTACAATTTCAACTTTCTCTCTTACTCTCAATCTTGCAGCCATGACACAAAATAATTCGAAGAACTGTAAGGTGAATATTGTTGACAATAGTACACTTGAATCTTTCACAAGTGTCAAACTGTAATATCATTTCCATGGCAACTAAGATTTGAATTGAAATATTAGGTCTCAGTTTTAGTTGATTTGCGTGAAAACTTGAATGTAATTCCGTTATTTTCATTAAAAATATTTACGCTATTTGTTTTTTTCTTTCATCTGGCGGCACTTTATTGTTGAAATCATAAAAAAATATTCTCATGGCTATATCTGTTTTGATATAGGGTGTTTTTTGTAACTGTTACCTGTGTGAGTTTTCGAATTTTTGAGTTGTCATAACTTTGTTAATAATGAATATTTTTTCATGAAATTTTGGTCACACCTATTTTTTAGAGGCACTCTGAATACAGTGGCGTAGTGATTTTTTCAATAAAAAAATCGCTAATAAAAAATCCCGATTTTCGACTAAGAAAAAATATCGTAGTTTGCCCTGAAACTTTAATATACATTTCAAATTTTGTCCCAAGGTAGACCTTTTAGTACTTGACAAAACAAAAATTATTAAAATCGGCTTACAACTTCAAATTTTAGGGGGGTGTTTCCATTAAAAATGGGTCACACTGTATACGATTCTGTGCAATTCAAAGTTGTTATTTTTATTTGAAAATATGTGAAAATAATTATCGGCTAGCTGGGCTGTTCTAATCTGTAGAAAAAGGCTTGGGTAAAACTGAAGTTTATTGAAACTATAGTTTGTAGGCTACGTTAGGTTAGGTCAAAGTGAGTGGGTCTGTTCGACCCACCACCGCAACCCGCAAGGGTTTATTGTGAATATTCTTGCCATCCAGGTGTTACTAGGCTAACATACAGATAGCGTTACTAGTATTAAATCCATTCCGAAGCTTCTCTTACCTCTCCTCAAAAGAATATAGCTCTCTTCCTAATAAATTCTGGGATAACTATATAACTTCAAAAAAAATTGAGAACGAGGCCCCCGCCTATTATAGATGTATACTGTTGAAGCCAAGGCATGGCTCCTCAATAAATATTTATTCGACTGTGTCGTGGTATATACCTTATCAACCAGGGGTTATAGTGTTAGTAGACGCACTGTTCGACGTTGGTTAGCGAAATTTCGTTCCGGATATTTTAGCCTTGAAGATTAGCCCCGAAAAGGTCAATATACAGTAATCCAGGAAGAGTAGTTGAGGACCACCATCTTTTCAAGAACTTCGATACCTTTCTCGTCGGTAGAACCTTCGCCAATTAAGGTCAGACAAAAACGGCCTTCGTCGACTTAATCGAAACCCGAGCACGCATATTTTATGCTGACGGAATTATTCTAACATTCACGAATATCCAATAATAGAAGTTATAGTCCTTGGAAGCATCATTCAAAATTGTTAACAGTACGAAATTTATTTTGAATCAAATTCCAATAATGGGAGCTGTTTTCTTTTTTATTTTTTGAATATGTTGTATCAACAAGATACAATTTCATCTGCATCACATCACAGTTGTGGAGTATAGACTCTTTCGTTATAAAACACATATGATTTCTAGAAATTGTTGTTGACAACTTATGATGCCGAAGCCATAATGATTTGATCAATGTTTTCTTCAAAATATCAATTTTAACATTTTTTGTGCACTACTTCCATTAAAAAATTAGGGCAGTGCCATCAGCAAACATTCGTATTTTATCCAACAAACTTACTGTAGGTAGATAATAAATATATACACGTAATAAAACAGGTTCAAGAATTGATCCTTGCAGAATCCCGCCTTTTTTTTCCACAAATCTCTCGCTCGTGGACGTATTTTATTTCCCATTCAAAAATAACCAATTTTGAACTGAACCTAATGTTTCAGCTTGAGTTACGATTGTAACGTGTAAAATTTGAGAAAAATGGAAATGCTGTTTCTGAATAATTATTCAGAAACCATGGAGAGAAATAATTATTTTAGATACAACAACCATTCTTATCCAAAAGATTTTTTCAGAAGTGTTCACTTATATTGATTTTTTTTTACTTTGAAGCTTAAAAAAGCTTTTTTCATTCATAAAAAGTAGGAATGGTATTCATATAACACATAATTTATACAGTTTTGGAAAAACTTACCTCCTTGACCACGCCTTGATTCATTCTTACTATGCCGGCTATATTTCTTAGTAGAAAATCTGTTGGTATTCATATTGTTGAAAACTTACGGATTTAAAATAAACCACTGGTACTCATTAACGATAACTAATTGTTTTCACTATGAAATATTTTCCGAAAGTATAAGATCGACTGAAATCTGGTGACTTCTTAATCTGTGATTCTGCATTGCAATGTATACTTCATTCCAAGTTAAATCACTTTGCCAAACATCTTGAGGCAAAGACAAGTTGGGAAAATAACTTGTCAGAAAACTCCAAAAACAAAGATTTACATTCAATAAATATATTATAAATGATTTATTTCTTCAACTACACTCTTTTTTTCACACCTTCAACGACACTTCACTACATAAATAATTTAAAAAGATGGAAAAGTTGATGTTTATATATATAGAATGAGATATTAAAATAGGAAAATGATGGGATTCACGTGCATTTATATTTGCGCCACCTGGTGACGAACTTGGGAAATAGAGCGTTCATACATTTTTAAGATATGTTCCAAAAACAACTTTGAATGTGGTGTGGGTCGGGAAAAATATCTGGTCTAGGTAGGGACGACAAATTGTATTTATTTGCAGGAATAAAATCTTTGGCATTGTATTTTTTCTGCGATATTGTGATTCTACGGAAAAATCGGTTAGATACGAAGCACGGTTTCCTAAAAACTGGTGAACCAAACGTCAAAATACTAACCGATGAATTTCTTCTTCTTCATTTCGATTCAATGGCCTTAGCAACTGAAGCTATCCGACCAGTTGGTAACGAACAACCGATGAATTTGTTGTGGTAAGAATGACAATTGGCAGTTGGGACTAGGAAAATTTGAACAGGTGACTGTCAAAAGGTACCTAGGTTACTTTCGTGTTATTTCGAGAGAAATTTTCTGAACCAAATAGATTTTTATTGAAAAGTAACGAATTATATTATACTTTACATACCTATCATTTCATCATTAATATTTTCTAAAGAATTTAAAATCTGTATCGACTCAGGTACTTTTTAACCCTGAGCAGTTCGGGTTATCAATTACTGTCTCATTTGTATCAAGAAAGACATAGAAACCTAGTAAATCGAGTAAAAACTTCGTAAACTTCCAAACTAACAATATTAAGATGACTTGTTTTTGTTCACAAAATTCAGTTTTTCCGTCCTCTTCAGATGAAGTTTCATTTGTCGAATGTCAACGGACCCAGTTTCCTTCTGTTCAGAAAATATAGTAGATGGAAAATACACACTTATAAAGAGGAACTCAGGCTCTTTTTACATCTATCTTAAAATAACACAAAACTCTAGATAACTTACAATCTCAAAACAAACAACTTTTTACAATCGCCCATTCATTTGTTTTCTTGAATGCGGATGATTACACGCTGGAGTGAAGAATAGTAAAGATATTTTTATGCTCATGAAATTTTCCATTAAAAGAGACCTGTGTTTTTAATCTTCCTCTGACAATTCATCAGAACTCATAAGTAACTCTTGAAAAGGAACGACCAACTTCAGTAGTCAGTTTGAATATTATAAGATTAATTCATATATAGATTAATATGGACATTCTCAAACTAATGCAATGAACTTGTATTAGTTGTATTTGTTTGAGAATGTCCATATAGGACGAAACTGCAGTAACGTTAGTTACAATTAAAAGTGGTGAAAAACATAGAAATTTTCATTTCTCTTTTCATTAAGAATAATTCATTGGAAAATGTATGGTTTTCAGTTTCCACATCGAAAATAATAAAGCAGTTGACTTATAATGACAATTGACACAGCCGTCCTGTTTCATGTTACTAACAAAAATACATTATTTACGCATCTGCTGTCCAAAGTTTTGAACGGTAGAAAGTATAAAGTGGTTATTTCTCAACGGTTATTTCTGAATCATATATTATATTGATAGTAAATATCGTTTTCATTGATAAAACGAGTGTGAGTTCACATGTTCCATCGGAAAACCAGGTTAATGAGATTTACACTCAGTGCATATTTTTCAGCAAAAACAAAGAAGTGTGAAGAGAAAATATATATGTCGAATCAATTATTTTTATTGTGACCATCGGGTAGGAATGACAGAATTGAAATGGTAGTTGAAATACCCGTTACAAGAAATGAAAACTTTCAATGCATGACAATAAATAGGTGGCAAAACTTAATCTTGTGTATACAAGTTTTGCATTTAGTATTGTCAATCTTACACTTCGTAAAAAGAAAAAATAATAATAGTATTCAGGTATTCCCTTCTCGGTCTTTCATTTAATAGTAAGTAGTAAGTTGAGTGACATGTGCTTTAATGTATATTCCATTGGGACTTCACCGATACTGAAATTTGACAGAATTCGTGTAGTATCAGTGAAATACGAGAGCACCACTAGCTTGTTTTTTCAAAAATCATAACAGTGACCCCAAGCCTTCTAATCTGCAAATCTTGAAAACGTTTTACTTTTACTATAGTTGTGATGTTTCAACTAGGTGTATTTCAAATCAGTTTCAACACCAGAAATATGACAACGGTTTCGAAACTTAAATGTCTCACGTCAAACATCATTGTCAATTGTCATAAAGTTATTTCTGCGATTTCGTTATGCAGTACTAATGTATACCGAAAGTAAACAATTTGAAACACATCTCAAGATTCATTCTAACTTTGAACTATTTCATGACAAAATAAATTCAATTCGATATGGATGTGTTGGAAAAGGAGGAGTCTAAGGCCTGCACTGTAACTGTAAGAGATTTTCCGTTTATTTGCCGAATATGTTGTATGAAACGAAGCGATATGAGGCCGTTCGAAGAGGAAGACTATTTATCGAAACTTTTCCACGCCACTACAAAAATTGATGTAAGTCATATTGAACCCATTTATTTCCTTCAAAACTATTGTATAAGAGTCACTGCTATTAGATAAAAACCACCGAATGTGCCACTAGCTCTAAGCAGTTGTAAATGCATATAATTTTTGAATGTGATATGCAGAATTTACATATTTCGGTAGCAATCTAATAAATATTTTTATTTTTGTGCACTGATCACTAATATGAAGTTAGAACTCCTCGCTTTGGTCTACTTTTGAAGATATGACCCAATTAAAAGTCAAAACTATTGAAAAAATCGATTGTTTCAAAAACTTGCTTCTAGTAATAATAACTTCATTCACCCATTTTGAATGTATTCATAGAATAAAATACTTCTATTTCACCATACTAATCTTTCTTGAAACCATGCTCTAAATAATATCGTCGCTCAGTGGGAGTTGTTACTGTTTGTTGTCACTGTCACTTAAAGACGAAGTCAAAGAATGAAAATCATGATTGTCCCAGAGGAATATTAGGTTTGTTTATTCCTGCGAAGAAATAGTTTTCATAACCACCTTGACCAGATATGTTTCTCAAGAGAATTTAAGAAAATACAGTGTGTCAATTGAGCTTTATTTGAATGTAACACAATGAACATAAACTACATGAAATTAAGCACATGTTGTTACATGATAAGGCAGCTCAGAGACTCGTTCAGTCAGTTCTACAATATGGATTAGTATTCTGGGATTCCTCGCCCCATGCTGATAAGATATTCAGAGCACAGAAAAAATATTAAGAGTTATGTTCAATGTCCATCCACTGTCAACATGTAAAGACCTATTTAAAAGATCTCAAATAAAAACTTGGCCCAGCTTATACATATTTCGAATAATCACCTATATTGAAGAAAATGAAAACAGGTTCAAGAGTTACTCACAATTACAGATCTGCTACATCTCGCCTGACTACATAGGAGTTGAATTATATAACGAATTTAAATGTATCTGTGAGCTTTTTTTTTAAGAAATGAAAATATCTTTATTTCTGAAGCAACAATAAAAATTAATTGGCCCCCCCCAAGGCAACTTCATTGGTTCCAGTGGCACATTTGCTTTTTCAGCTGCAGGAAAACCTGGAAAAACCTGCAGCACCACATCATCTGAATATCTTGATCTGCTGGTGTCCTCTCTCTTAAAACAAAATGTAGGGTGTCTCCAGAGGCTCCAATAAATTCCATACATCGCCAGAACACTTTGTGACACGATTATCGACAAACTTAAACCAGTCCGTTTCGTCTTTGACCAAAGCGTAATCAATCAATCAATACTTTATTGTCATAAAGAACAAGGAATTCTTGGGAACAAAGTATTTATATGAATGAAACACTTAATGCTAAACGGTACAATTTGTCAGTCAACATATAGTATAAAAATCCTTAACAATAAGAGAAAAAATAAGTAAATAATATAAGTCTCGGATATACCTACACAGTAGGTTGAATGGACTGACGCCTATCAAAAAACAACTACTCCCCTGGCCCATACCACGATGGGCGTTGGATTATATCCGACAGGCGTCAGACATACCTACCTCGCGTTGGGTGTTCCACAAGGTTCCGATCGGGTGTCATGAAAATTGACAAAAAAATTAGCGCCATAAGAAGATATATGGGATTTTGAGCCGTACCGGCCTTGTTAATCCACCGATTTGAATTTCCCGCTATATGCGTGGACAGCAATAGTGGAGGAGTGGGGGGCGTTTGTAGTGGCGCCACCACTATTGATGACTCAATAGTGAACTACTCTCCTTAGCTTGTTCTCGATGTATAAGAACATTTATTTGATGAGTTCCGACACAATCTAGAATATTTTTTGAAAATTTTTCAACCCTTCAAAGACAGTAAATCTTTAATGAGTCTTATGTTTCTTTTTAAGGTCGGATCTACACTAAACTTTCCTAGAAACGTATGCAGTCATTGTATTAATGCAATAGAAGATATATCAACCTTTACTGAGGTTTCGAAGTATTATGACTCACTGCAACGTACATCAAAGAAAATAAATCCTCAAAAAACTTTTGGGAATGGGACGATTTCTTTCTGGGAACCTCTAATATGCCGAGCCTGTTCATCTTCAAGTAGTCTTGTACCTTTTGAGGAGGACGAGCCTCTAGTACAGCTGTTTCACAATATCACGAAAATTGATGTGAGTACTTTGGTAAACTAAAACCAGCTAGATCTAAAGTAACAATTGTGCTGAAAGAATCGTTGGCTAACACGGATTTTGTTTGGTAAAATTTGATTTTGTTATTCAATATAGTTGCCTTCAAGGCAACTATATAGCGGTGATACAATTTTACGATAGCATTTTTATAGTATTGTAACGAATCTGAATCTGAACCCTAGGCCAGCCGACTCATCGCGAACAAACACATGACCTAACCTCAAAAGAATGCAGTCGGAAATCGCCGGTAAAATTCTAGTACCGAACCGACTACAGAATTCTAGAAAGGACCTTTACCGATATAAGCCCGCCTTCCCGACCCAAGAGGGCAGTTCAGAAAGTGAATGGAGCGGCTAAACAAGAAATCCAAATAGTGGAAATAAATTAAGCGTTAGTTGCTAACTGTTGTAGTAAATAAATTAGTTTGTGATTAGTGAAATATTGTTGGAAATACATTTGTTTAAGACAGTTAATTTTTTTAATTTCTTACAGTATGATTCGTCTTTAGCCTCAAAATAGGCTTCAGTTTCGACGATTACCATTTCATCGGCGCTAAATTTCTTTCTGGAGAGCATTCTCTTGAGGTCTGAGAATAGGAAAAAGTCGCTGGGGGCTAGGTCTGTAGCATACGGTCGATGTGGAAGCAATTTGATGCCCTTCATGCAATTTTGCCATTATTTTCATTGATTTGTGACACAGTGCGTTGTCTTGATGAAACAGCAGAGGCTCTCTTTAGAGCCTCAGCTATCTCGATCAACTCCACTTTGCGGTCATCCAAAATTATTTTCTCGGTAACAGCCTCTTTGGGGCGTCCACTGCGGGCGTCGTTCTGGGTGCTCATTTCACCCAGTTCAAACTTAGCAAACCACTCCTCAACGGTTGATTTTCCTGCTGCAAAGTCCGAATAATGTTTATCACGTCAGTCCTTGGCTTCAGCAGTATTTTTTTCGCCAAAAAGCAATGCTTTATTAACGCACGAAATTCCTTTGTATCCGTTTTAATCAAACTAACAAAAGTTGCCTCTTTTAAAATGTTCTAGCTCACAAACTAATAGACACAGTATGCCATCATGCGTCGCGTCTACTTTAGGGCGACGGGGGAAGATGCGCGGGGGTAGAGGGACGGTCTAAGCAATGAAGCGTCGTAGCCGAGAACGCGGGCAGACGCGTGAGGGCAGACGTCGTTAACGGTTGTGTTAGTTTTGCAATTTTATTTATATGTAACACAATTTGATTCACGAAGCTATACATTACTTACTGCAGTTGGCAAATTTTTTTAGTAACTGTATATTTATAGTAAAATATAAATTACTAGCTTTTGTCCGCGTATAATTTGGTTTGTCGCACTCTTATATTAACGTACAGCAGAAGCTATTGAACCTAGAATCTTCAAATATGCAGGTAGGTTCTTTGTATACCGTAAATAAGCATCAAGAAAGGGAATCAGGAATTTCCCCCCCCAAGGGACAAAATAGGGGTTCAAAGATTGTTTTGAATTTCTTCAGTTAAGCTGGGAACCTAAAGTTTTGGGTTGATAAAAAATACTGTAGCATTTGTTTAAAATGGTTTGTCACGAAACTTAATGCGACAAACCAAACAAGAACTCCATCATCTTCAACAACAGAATAAAACGACTCACTTCGTATGGGTACCATCACACATGGGTATAAAGGGAAACGCAATAGCCGATCGATTAGCTAGAGACGCAACGGATATCGACGAACTTCACACAATAACCAGAACTGCCAAATCTGACCTCAAACAAATATTCAAAGAGATGATTATCAATGCATGGTAAGCTGAATGGAACCTTTTCAAATCGAAATTGGCCATAGTCACTAGACACACCCGCATCACACACTCCCACCAGATCGATAAAACCCAAGAACCAACCTGCGAAATATGCCACTGCCCCCTAACAGTGAAACATATTTTAATCGAGTGTGAAACTTACAATCGACATCGAAAACTACATGGATTTCCTTCAACTCTTGCCGAACTTCTGAAGGAAGGTTGCAATCCCTCCCAGTTTATAGATTACCTAACTGATATTGGTTTAGTCAATTAAATTTAGATTATATTAGATTAACTGTATCTATTTATTCACATTTTTATATTTACTATGACATGTAATATGCCGTCTCTAATAAAATATTTTTGCTACGCTTCTTACGTTCTTCCCATTCAGAAATGACCTCCTCAGTTTGGAATAATGATGTATTTGTAACTTCAGCATGGCTAGCGATATGTAAACGTTCAATTTCTGTAAATTGAGTCTCTAGGGCTGCTATTTTCACCTCAATTGCTTCAATCCTCTTATTTAATTGTCCATTTTCCACACGTAGTTGTGGATACTATTGTTGTTGATGTTGAAGTATTTGGGTAGATCATTGACGAATAATAGAAAGATAAGCGGTCCCAAGACAGAGCCTTGAGGAACTCCTGAACTGATTCGTTGAGGATCAGATAGTGTGTCTTTTATTTTTACCAACATTGTACGGTCTGAAAGAAAATGTTTGAGCCATTGCAAAAATACACCCCTAAATCCTAGATTAAAAAGTTTGGTTTCAATAAAGTCATTAGATAGACAGTCAAATGCACGTGAGAGGTCAAACAATATTCCTGCCACGTGCATACCATTGTCTAGGGAGTTATAGATGATTTCAGCAAAACTACAGGCAGCTGACTGTGTGGACTTGCCTTTACAAAAACCGTGCTGGCAGTCAGTAAGAATCTTAAAATTCAACAAAAAGTTAGCCATTTTCTCGTTAACTAGTTTCTCATAACCTGAATAGTTGAAGGGACAATAAACAATTTTAATAAAAAAACATTTTCTCGTTAACTAGTTTCTCATAACCTGAATAGTTGAAGGGACAATAAACAATTTTAATAAAAAAAACAAATTCTACGCGGACGAAGCAACAACTACTAGACCATAAAATATTACGCACGTCATCAAGGACTTGGTCGAATTCTAAAGTATACTGTATTATTTATGAAAAATAATATATTACACGTAGCAACTACTGACTAATTCGTTTGCAAGTTACCTAACCATCTTCATTCCTCTCTCAGGTTGTCCGCCATTTAAATGAGACTTATGTTTCAACACCTAATATAGTAAGAGTACAAACCCATCTACAGATTTTGTTTTGCACAACTTCCGAATCGAAATGATTTATTAACTATTGCTATATTTTTAGGTTCAACTTAAAACCGATATTGCGATGAAAATATGCTTATGCAGCACGTGCATCGACAGTCTAGAAGACATATCAACGTTTATCAGCTCATCTCGGTCCAATAATGAAAAACTTGAGGAAATCATTGGTATACCCAATTCGCTGAAATCGCTGTCGAACGGGACTGATATTGAAGTGAAATTGGAACGAGATGATAACAGAAATGAGGAGTTTATTTCTGATATGAAACACGATATCGAAATCAAAGAAGAAGTTATCGACAGCGAATTTGCAGCTACCATTAGCAGAGATTACCAAACTGGTCTCAAGTCTGAAAGTCCCTACGAAGATATTACCAATGAACATTCCGTTGATAACATCAACACTGTTGATACTGACGATTTTCCTTTGTCGGCTCAGAGTATAAAAGAAAACCCCAAACCCAAAACAGAAAAAGTATTCGAATGTTTCAATTGTAAAAAAACTTACGCCGATAAGAAATCCTTGAAAATGCACATGGTCACCCATTCCTTGCGGAACGCGTTCAAATGCGACGAGTGCGGAAAGTTTTACAAGCGGAAGCAAATTCTGCAACGGCATTTGCTTACGCATGTCAAAGGAAAGCCGTTCCGGTGCGACCAATGCGGAAAATGCTACGCTCAAATGGATTATTTGAAGCGGCATCTGACCACTCACAATAAATCCAGGCCGTTCAAGTGTGACAAATGCTATAAGGACTTTACTCAAAATAACCATTTGAAAGAGCATTATCTACTTACTCACACTAGCAATATTAAAGGACGGATATTCGAATGCTATCACTGCGGGAAAAGATTCTATCAGAAGTCGGCTCTCAACAGACATTCACTCACACACACTGGCGAAATGCTGTTTAGATGTGAATGTTGCGATGAAAGCTTCACCAAGTCGGGTTTTGAAAAGCATTTGGAGTATCACAAAGAAGAAGACGTTTGGAATTTTCAGGAATGTCGACCACTGAACCAGAGGGTGCATTCTGATATTTGACTGAACAGGCTAAAGTGAACACTCATGATTGAAAGAGAGACATTTCGGAATTCTGCATCGTTAACTACATTTATGCCAGTAGACCACCATACTGAAATGTAAGATTTCCAGGTGCATAGGAATGAAACTATAAAATTACACTACACATCGGCTGTCAGGCCGGAGTGGGAGGAAACGATAGGACCAAATACCCCTTTAAAAAACGAAGGCCAAGCAATATGTAGCAAGAATAAGATGGCTTTCGAATCATGCCGCTGTTTTAAAGAACTTTATCAGTGAATTAAAGTTGTATAGAAATTTCACTTTTTGATAATGTACCACAAAATTCATATTTTGTATTTTCAAATACTTTCATAGATACCAGAATCTGAAGAGTCATATATTCATAATATCATAAAGACTAACAATGTGATACATTTCAGCATCGATCAAAAAAATATATGGTTTAGTCATCACAATAAAGTATACGTTGTTTTCAGATTTCAATGAGAATTTGTTCACAATAAACCTAATGCAAAAATTGCCACTACTGATTCCACAAAGGTGCTAATTTGAAAATGAAAATAACCATGCATAAATAGAGTATCATTATATCAACTAAGATAGTGGCGATTTCTTGTGTTAGATTCAGTAGGGGAGGGGGCTGCACCTTGAAATAGAAAGAGGAAGGCCAAAGCAAAAATTGAGGTTTCTGAATTTCGAATATTGAACTTTAAATTTGTAGTATTCACTCTAACTATTGATTATCTCTGGAATCAGGGTTGCAACTCGATATTTTATTTTATTACTAAATTTTAGATAAATTTACGACTTCGTAACTTTTGTACGTGCGCATGTTCTACATATCAAGGTTAAATTTTCACAGGCGAAGACTCGCAGAACTAAAACCCATGTTTATGGCTAGACAATCTTTGGCCTAGACTATATTAACCAGTCAATGGAAGTTTGACATGAGCTGTCAAAATGTGAACGACAAATAAAACAAAAACTGTTGGATATGAAATTTACAATAGTAATACAAAAAAATTGTTAGTTCGTCACCCTATATCTTGTACACATTCAGCATATCACTGCTCTACATTATTGAAGGATAGCAAACACTCATCGCACGCTAGTTTTACCAATAAAAGTGTGCTTAAACCACGGGAGCAAGTTCCAACTGCCGCGAGTGATGTGGCTCACATATTTGGAAATGGATAATGTAAATTTGTCTTGATTTCTTTTCTCAATTAGCACAGTCGAACCACACTATTTATTTCTTAGACATTACCGATTTTTAAGTTGGCTTTATGTTTTTTCCAACTTGGCTTTATGTTTTTTCCAACTCGGTTCTGGTGAAAGAAAAGTGATTCGATGGAAATTAGTCCTGAGGGATGGCAGCCTGTCTGAACGAGAGAAACATTCCCGCGCTTGGGAGTGACAAAACTGACATTTCTAATTGTTTATCCTTTTGTGTCGATGGTTTGATGCCTGAAAACTAAGAATACAATAATTGTTTACTCGCTACTCAAACACCTAACGACTGATCAGAATAACTGAATGTTATGTTTATCGCAGTAACGTTTTCAGTGCGTTCATTATAGACATGAGAAACTGATGAATAGGTAAAATAAATCACTTTCACTCACGGGAAGTACAAGAAACCACACCAATAAAAACAGTTGACCGGACTTTGTTTTACCATCAAGCCCGGTAGATGTCGTATCTGAACCATGAACTTTCCAAATGTCGAAACCTCCGGCACCGGCTCTGTGAATGTAATCATTAATTGTTAAAAGGAGGTTTTAGCCACTATATCTTATGGTTATATTTTGTGGTTAAATCATTAAATTTTAGCAATCGAAAAAGCTTTGAAACATGAAGGAGGATAACAAGGAATCGGCTATAACTTCAAAAGATTTTCCATTCATTTGTCGAATTTGTTGTTCGAAGGGAAATTATTTGAGATCTTTTCAAGAGGAAGAACATTTGTTTGATCTATTCCATACCATCACGAAAATTGATGTAAGTTCTTCCAGATTTATTTTTATCATTCTGATAAACTCGCCTTTGTTCAAAACAAATAGAGGAATCTGAAGTTTTTACTTTAGAATAATTCATGAGATTCTTTTAGATTGTTTCAATCCATTTCTTGTTTAACATTTCTGTTTACTTGAAAATCGTTTAACAAACCGAAACCGGTCGTAACAAATGAAAAACTTAATAGAAATCAGACCAGAGTTATTTTCTTTATCCTATATTCAAAATGAATTTCTACAAAATAAATAGGTCATCAATCGAACAACAACTTGTATTTGTAACTAACTTTACTGCAGTTTCATCCTATGAGGACATTTTCAAAGGAATACAATAAACTGAAATAATTGATAATGTTAATCCTTTTATATCTATACATCACTGTAGGTGATGTGCTAAATGACCAAATCGATATTGTCTACTGACACTAGTTTTTAGATTAGCATACCCACATTGTCACAGGTAAACAAATTCAGGTACTCAATTGAGTAAAGGACCTCTGTTATTACCTACAGTGATGTAAAGATATATAAAGGGTAATGTCCTCATGGGATGAAACTGCAGTAACGTTAGTTACAAATACAAGTGTTATAAAAACAGGATGTTTTATTTTTCATGATGATCCACTACATAGTAACGGCTATACCCATCAGTTTATTGAAAAGCTGTATCAATTCACACAATATTTAACCAACTGATTTATCAATTTGGGAAAATGTTTTTGAAGGTCTGCTCAAAAGTCGAATATCCAAAAAACGTGTGCAATGAATGTGCCAATAAACTAGAAGATATATCATCATTGATAAATATTTCGAAGTATAATGCTGCAAAGCTGAAGGAAAATTGGATTAAAAAAAAAGAAATGAATCATCTAGAAATGGAAGAAAATTTAAAGGAGGACACCAAAGAAAATTATGAAGAGGACATTCATAATCAGGCATCTCTAGTTTGTCGACTTTGTCTGTCTGAAAAATGCTTAACATCGTTTGAAGAGAAGGAACTTTTGGTGAAGCTGCTTCAAGATATCACAGAAGAAGATGTGAGTTTGTATCTGATTTTTATTCCATTAAAAAACTTTTATAATCCATTTTCAGTTCTCGATGCGGAGTAGCATGTGTCATAAATGTGTTGGCAAGCTGGAGGACATATCATCTTTCATCAGTTCTTCACTGTATAATGACAGGAAACTTGGAATTGCTCTTGGTACTGAATTAACGAAATTTGAAGAGCAAAACTCTTGTGAAGTAGTTTATAAAAATGAAATTTTGACTGACGATATTTTCATAAAAAAAGATTGTTCTCTTGAGTGTGATCTGAAGTCCGAGATAATTGACATCAAGGACGAAATAATTGAGAGTTTTGTTGAAACTTCTGATGAGCAAACCTACCAAAATAATCTGTCCAGCTGTGTTCAAAAAGACACTTTGGAAAAACATTTGGGCAGTCACACCGGAGAAAGACCTTTCGAGTGTAACTTTTGTGGAAAACGTTTCACTCGAAAATGTCATTTAAAAGAACACATCCTCTCTCATACTAGAGAAAAGCTATTCAAATGCCATTTATGCAAATATGACTGTGTTCGAAAAAGAGATTTGGAAAAGCATATACGCACTCACACTGGAGAAAAGCCATTCGAATGTGCAGTGTGTAAAAAACGATTTTCTCAAAATAACATTTTGAATCAACATATGTTCTCTCACTCTGGAGAAAGGCCTTACGAATGTCATTTGTGTAAAAAACGTTTCACTCGAAATTGTCATTTGAAGGAACATAATATGATCTGTCATACTAGGGATAATATATTCAACTGTCACTTGTGCAAATATAGCTGTTTTCTAAAAAGCAATTTGAAAAGGCATTTGCGGTCCCACACTGGAGAAAAGCCTTTCGAATGCCATTTGTGTAAAAAACGTTTCACTCGAAATTGTCATTTAAAAGAACATATGCCCTATCATACTGGTGAAAACCTATTGAACTGTCATTTATGCAAACACAGCTGTGTTCGAAAAGGCGAGTTGAAAATTCATTTGCGCACTCACACGGGAGAAAAACCTTTCGAATGTAATTTGTGTAAAAAACGTTTTACAGTAAAGAGATATTTGAAAGAACATATGTTTCATCACACTGGAGAAAAGCCGTTCAAATGTCAATTGTGCCAATATAGCTCAGTTCAAAAATCCACTTTGAAACTACATTTGCGCATTCACACAGGAGAAAAGCCATTCCAATGTAATTTTTGTAGAAAAAGTTTTGCTCTGAATTGCAATTTTAAACGACATTTATCTACTCATTCTATAGAAAAGTGATATCAACGTTACTACTGTGGAAAGAATTATAAGCAAAATGGTTGTTAGGGAAAACACTCGTGAATGAAAAGCATTAAGATTAGGTTATTTTAGGCTATCTGATCTTACAATGGTACATATAGTTGCATATGCAGACGACACCAACCTTTTGATTAAAGCAAAAAATCCCATAGTACTTCCAGAATTAACTGAAGTGGTCTATAATAAAGTAATTACATGGGCTACTAAAAACCATCTACCACTCAACATCAACAAAACAGTGTTAATGAAATTCTCATTAGGTAATAGGAATGACCCTCTTAGTATATTTAAATATAACGATCTGGAGGTTACATCTTGCCCAACAACAAAAATACTTGGTCTCACTGTAGATCACAGACTTACGTGGAATCCACATATTGACCAACTCTGCGATAAATTGAATAAAAATTGCTACGCACTAAGATTCATGCGAAATCACTGCAGCAAGGAAGTTCTGCTCAGCCTGTACTATGCGACCATCAATTCTCATATAAGATACGGAATTCTAAATTGGGGGAAGGGATCTTCTGCACAAAGAGTTTTTATACTCCAAAAATATGCTATCCGAATAATTGATGATCTAGAATGGCAACAGTCATGTAGAGATTCCTTCAAGAAATTGAGAATTCTCACTCTTGCTGGGTTGTATATATATGAATCATGTATTTATGTGTTCAAAAATATATCTTCATTTGAAGCGAATCGAGAAAATCATGGCTACTCAACTCGATCAAAAAATTTTTTGGTAACTGCTGCACATCGGACTGCACTTTTTCAGAAAAGTTATCTATACCTTGGCCCAAAATTTTTCAATAAGTTAGACGGCACAGTGAGAGAATCTCCTAATATTTCGATTTTTAAAGCACGATTGAAAGCCTATCTCATCCAAAAAAACTGCTACACCATCAATGAATTTTTTGCAAATCAATAATTCTTCACTCTAGACGGGCAGCTATTAGTAAACAATTTACCCTCTCATATGTATGTTGACTATAAATGTTATAAATTTGTATTGTAATATATTTATTATGTTTTACACCCCATTTGTATGTTAGACGGTAAATGTTTTTAAATTTGTATTGTTTTATATTTAATATGTTTTACACTCCATTTTTTTTTTAATTTGTATTGTATTATGTTTATTGTGTTTTACACACTATGGACGTCTTCCTTGTTACTGTGTACTATTTTGTGAAAGAAATTTTATACTTTTTAACGAGAAAAGTTAATAAATATTATTATTATTATTATCTGGGTTTTTCACTTCCCACAATCTGAAAAATGAATAAATATAGATCAATAGGGAAGCAGTTCTCAAGTTAAATTCTAAAACCACAGCTGTGAAAAAGGACAAGGCCTATTTTTAAAATTAATTTATTTTATTTATAGGTAAAAATTATAAATGACTAATTAGGCTTCATCGGCTAAAATGGTGTTGTTAAACCTGAAATAAACGTGAACTCGTAATCTATTGTTTTCCTGTTAACCAACTGCCCCCCTCAACGAAAGACAAACCTCAGAAGTCGAAACTTGTGCGAGCTGAGGTCTTACCTTTGAACGTGCGATTCCCAGCACGGAATGGGTTGAAACAATAATTGTAATATTAATTATCTACAACCAAACAAATACAGGAAACAGTAAAATGCAGCATCAAGATGAATGATGGAATCGTACAAAAAAATAAACTTGAAAATATTTCAAACCAAGTTACTTTATGATATTTCGATGGTTTTCATTTTAGAATGAACGCTCAATGCGATCGATGCTCATATTGCGATTCTCCTCCCAGAAAAAGGTAAACGGATAGTATGAACGAGCCTTTAGAGTCTTCAACCAATGAGAAATGAGTCCTTCGACGGGTGATAGCCTATTTGAGCAAGAAAAACTCTGACGGATTGACTGGATTGCTTCCACCAATAGAAATACGCTAACGTTTCGAATAGACAAATAAATAATGAATGTATCAGAGCAATCGGTGAATTCACCGATGAATTAAAGAACACGCCCACCGTCACAACACCTTTTGACAAATCAAATCTAAAATTCTCACAATGTGAATATGCAACACGTAAAACACCATGACGTATCTGACATTTAGCGTATGAGTGACGTAAATGCCAAGACAAGAATCTCTTTTTCTTTTTTTAATTGTTGGAGTCGAAGTTCTCTCTTCAAAGTCCAGTTTATATTATGACCCCATTGCACATATCCAATATTTTGTTGATTTTGTGGTTAAAATACTCATAACTTAAAAAATAACTTTCATTTGTATGGAAGAAATGTTACATTGAGTTTTGAAAAATGGCAGAGGATAACAAGGAGTCGAGTATTACCGTAGAAGATTTTCCGTTCATTTGTCGAATTTGTTGTTTGAGGCGAAATGATTTGAGACCTTTTGAAGAGGAAACCTGTTTGTTTGATCTCTTCCATACCATTACGAAAATTAATGTAAGTTCTTTCAAATTCATTTGACCTTCTAGAATACTCTAGTAGCATAAAACCTGAATTCCGTAGTATTCTACAACATTTAGAAATGATCACAGCGTACTCAAACCCTGCTTCCAAACAGCCTCTTCAAGCAGGTATATTCTTTCTGCAAGGAAATAAGAAGGAACTCATCATTTGAAGAGCATTTAATCGACTGCATAGATTCCAAAAAACTGTGTTTATTTGTATCACTTGTGGGTTAAAAAAAGATGCGAAGTATGATTTGGAGAGTTTTTTTGATGAACTTTCAATATGCTCAGACCATGAGTGTGACTTATCAATCATTACACCCAGAAACTTAGTGGAGTTGTGTGTCTGAAGGACTTCATTATCAATTAGATTGTTATTGCTTTCTATTATCTATATGTTGATCGTCAATGCAAAATGCATGTTGAGAATCAGATAAAATATTTAGGACTTATTAAAAATTTCATAATTTTCATTCAATGTCTATTGTACATTATCTTCCTAAAATTTTTGAAAAAACTAATCAGTCTGATTGTCGAATGTAAACTTTCACGGCCAGAAATAACTGAATGATAGCTATTTTCCGGGGTTTTTTGGCCGTGGTTTGCAAATTTTTATGCCTGACGTTTCGTCTACTACTGCGGTATACATTTTCAATGACAATGTGGTAATGGTTGCAATACCCGAGCTGGTGCTCTGGTTGTTCCACCGCATTAGCAAGTGGAAATTTCTGTAAATTTCGATATTACTAGATATGGCAACCTACATTTGAGATTATTGTTTTGACACTTCCAATTTGCATAATATTTACTCCACTGATGTATTGATATGGATAAATGTTTTTGAAGGCCTGTTCAAGAGTTGGCTATCCAGAAAATGTGTGCGATGAATGTGTCGATAAACTAGAAAATATATCATTGTTGATCCATATTTCAAAGGATAATGACGTAAAGCTGAAGGAAAACTGGAAGCCAAAAAAAGACACAGACTTTCTAGAGAAGGATGAAAATTCAACGAAAGGAACAAGTGAAAATTGTGAAGAGGATGTTTATAATCAGGAATCTGAAGTTTGCCAGATTTGTTCGTCTGAAAAATGCTTAACACAGTTTAAAGAGAAGGAAATATTAGCGAAGATGTTTCAGGATATAACAGAAGTCAATGTGAGTTCATACATGATTTTTTTCCATTTAAAATATTGTTTTGTAATCCATTTCCAGGTCTCGATGCAGAGTAGCTTATGTAACAAATGTATTGACAAGTTAGAAGACGTATTAGCTTTCATCAGTTTTTCATTATGTAATGACAAAAAACTTGAGAGTGCTGTTGGTAATGAATTACCAGAATGGGAAGTGCAAAACTATTGTGAAGTGATTTATAAAAATGAAATGATGAACGACGATGGCGAACTGAAATCTGGAGAAAAGCCGTTTGAATGTAATTTTTGTGAAAAGCGTTTTTCTCAAAATTTCGTTTTGAAACAACATATGTTCTCTCACACAGGAGAAAAGCCATTTGAATGTCATTTGTGTAAATATAACTGCGTTCGAAAATGTGATTTGGATAGGCATTTACGCACTCACACTGGAGAAAGGCCTTTTGAATGTGAACTGTGTAAAAAACGTTTCAGTCGAAATAGTCATTTGAAAGAACATATGTTTCATCACACTGGAGAGAACCCATTCAAATGTCATTTGTGCAAATATAGCGGTGTTCGAAAAAGTGATGTGGAAAGGCATCTGCTCACTCATTCAGGAGAAAAGCCGTTCAAATGTCATTTGTGCAAATTCAGCAGTGTTCGAAGAAGCAATTTGGAAAGTCATTTGCGCATTCACACTGGCGAAAGGCCTTTCAAATGTCGTTTGTGTACATATAGCTGTGTTCGTAAAAGCGATTTAGAAAGGCATTCACGTACCCATACTGGAGAAAGACCTTTCGAATGTGATTTTTGTAAAAAACGTTTCACTGTTAAAAGCCATTTGAATGAACATAAGCTCAGTCATACTGGAGAAAGGAAATTCAAATGTCATTTATGCAAATATAGTGGTGTCCGAAAAAGTGATGTCGATAGGCATTTGGTCACTCACTCTGGTGTAAAGCCCTTCAAATGTCAGTTTTGTGATTATAGAGGTGTTCGTAAAAGCGATTTAAAAAGACATTTGCGCACTCACATTGGAGAAGGACCTTTCCAATGTGATTTTTGTAAAAAACGTTTTACTGTAGAGAGCCATTTAAATGAACATAAGCTCTGTCATACTGTAGAAAAAAAATTTAAATGTCATTTATGCAAATATAGTGGCGTTCGAAAAAATGATGTGAATAGACATTTGGTCACTCACTCTACGGAAAAGCCCTTCAAATGTCATTTCTGTGAATATAGCGGTGCCCGTAAAAACGATTTGAAAAGGCATTTGCGCGCACACACTGAAGAAAGGCATTTTGAATGCCATTCATGTAAACAACGTTTCACTGTGAAGAGCCGTTTAAAAGAACATATCCTCTCTCACGCTAGAGACAAATGATTTGAATGTCATGAATGTTGCTGTGTTCAAATCACGATATGAAAATCCATTTGCACACTCACGCTGGAGAAAGTCCCATATGTACACCATAGCTCTTAACTTGAAACCATAACTCTTAACAGTATTCAAAAAGGAGATATGTTAACTTCTAACATATCTCCTTTTTGAATACTGTCCATTCTGTAATCTTTTGATCTACTTGAGATTTCCGTTTTCATAGTTAACTTGTGGCTTTTTTTTTGCTAAATTGAGGCTTTTTTGTGGTCAGGTTCCTTTTTTACAAAGATGAAACGCATTTTTCAAATAAGTCTTGGCAAATCAGATTTACAACCGAATGGAAATAACTCTGAACACCGCAGGATGACATCTGGCAGACATTGACCAGAATTTTATATGAGGTCTTCCTGAGTAGAATAGAGCTAGTAAAGACACGCCCGAAGAAGCCATTGAATGGCGAAACACAGTAACGTCAATATCTCTACAAATATTTATTATTCTCTGTCGTATATCCAATATTGAAGCAGGTTCAGTTTCGTACACCTCTTGCTTCAAATAGCCCCATACAAAAAAGTCCAAAGGTGTCAAATCTGGTGAGCGGGCTGGCCATTCTGTAGGACCTCGACGGTTTAAAAACATGTACATCCGTCACTAAAACAAATATTGTGGAGATAGGTAGGATGCCTTACAATGGTTTCCGTCATGATTTCGCAGAATTCTATTCTTCAGGATTTACTACCATCACATCAATTATTTGCACTTGCTGTTCTTTCGGAATGGACGGATGACCTGGGGGCTTTTTGTTATGTACACTACCGGTAGTTGTGAATTTGGATACAAGTTCCTTCAAATATTGTCTACAGATAGGACGATTTGGAAAACGTTCATTGAAAATCCTTTCGGTCTCGTGAAAGTTACGCGTCGCACCGTAAATAAAAATCGCTTCAATTTTTTCTTCCAATGGACGAGAATTGACCATTTCAGAGATTGTTGATGTGGTACCTTTCTACTAGTAAAACCGAAAACTAAATTAGAATATTATTCGAACTGGAACAATGATGTTCATTATTGCACTGACATTTTTTGTCGTTTTTATAAACAAAAAATAACTTAACAAACCTTATCGAGTTGTTGGCAGGAATATTTCTAGAAATATCGATATTAATATGTTTGTTTTCAGGAAATTATTAGATGTTCCGCCATTTTGCAGTAGGTGAAGATATTGACTTCATATTCTAGGGTTGTGAAGTATTCGTCAGGAGCTTCAAAATTTATTAAACTTTTGAATGTAAGCACATCGTCATAAACAAACAATGTTTCATTCAGGGAAAGTCAACTCCAAGCTCAGAAAAGCCGTTGATAAGAGTGCTAGTCACTCAAGCATTAAAAGCTCATCAGGTTACCTGGACATTCGATTTGATGGCTAGAAAAGTGCACACCTCAGATCAGGGGAAAGTCCTTCGAATGTAATATTTGTTAAGACCATTTTTCTCAAAATTATCTTTTGAAACAACATACGTTTTTTCACACTGGAGAAAAACCATTTGAATAACTTTTATAAAGTTGATGATTTCCGGTAGTGATATACACTACCTTGCACTGACAAGTGGCCAAACAGCCCGAAACTGGTGTGCAAGTGTGTTCCAATAATTGAAAATCTATTGCGGCAGTTGTATCGCCAACAGCATATGCAGGAATAACTTCTGTGAAGAATCCTGCACTGACACCGGTCGGATATAATCCAACGCCCTTCGTGGTATTAGCCAGGGGAGTAGTTGTTTTCTGATAGGTGTCAGTCCATTAACCTACTGTGTAGGGAGTTGAGACTGGCCTGAACGAATTGTTCTTTGATAATTTGAATAACTTTTGTGCAAAAATAGCTGTGTTCAAAGAAGCACGAGAAAAGTCATTTAAGATCGCATACGTTCTTCCGCTCTATATGAAAATCATTAAAATGATTCTTGTTCAAATGTTGTTTTGTCATTGAATCGAAGTGAAAACATCGTCCCACATTTATTGAAGAAAAACCTATGACGTGTCAGTCCACTTTTTAGCTTTATAAGGTTTAGGGACGCTCATTAGTAGGTAAGATTTCGTAGTTCTTACAAGTCTCTAAAAGGCATGCAACAGCTGATCGCTGTCCAAACAAACGATTAAAGCACTCGTGACACTTTATACATGGACAAGTTTGATAAACATTTATATGTTGGGTTGTATATTGTTCTAGAGGTGAATATATTTTTTTCTTTTCTGTTGAATACTATTAGTAGTACGAATAAAAAAGTTATAAAGTTTTCAAGAGTCTTTGATTTCTCTCTTCACTTGGCTGCATTTTCAAAATTCTATGTATATATCCGGAGATTTTAACCTCCATGAAGCTGTTTGGACTAAGGATAAATTCCCCAGAATTCATATGCTCATTTATTGGTTCAATGCCCTGCATTTTTGAATTTATTCAAATCCATCAGTATTTGAAATGATATAAATATTTTTTCGGCTCATAATACTGTAAATTTTCGAATATTGATTTAGGATCTGCTTCTGACCCTCTTTTTCTTCAAATAGTATTACCGTTTAGATTACACTTTAATTTCAAATATTGTATATATTTTATTTGGCGTTAGAGATGTTAATAAATAAACGAATAAAAAAATCAATATTTTTTCAAAAGTTTTTTTTCAATATTCAGTCCTAATAAATAAAAATTGTATTTTTCCCCACCTTTTACCTACATTTCAGATAGTCATGCTTCTGTTTTTTGAAAATCTATGCAATTGTATTTAAATAACACTGATCACTTTATAAAATCGCGATACGCATAGAGAAGTGTTACTCGGATTTTTATGCTTTCAAGGTGAAAAATCTCGAATATTCTATTATCAAAACACATTATTGAAAGTCTGAAATATTATGCTTGTGTTCCATATGAAATTATTTCATTCTTATAACAAACCACAGTCAACCAAGTTCAAAACTCAAGCAATGAGCACTGATTCAAATGCCCCTTATTTCGATTAAATTGAATAAGTATTCCCTGAAATATTTTAGTTTAAAGTAGACTCAAAAACAGACAAACAAATTTGTAACAACGTGATATAAATATAATCGTTAATTTTTCTAAAGTTTCTGTAAAATACATTGCTAGATTATCAGTTTTTATTATGTCAGTATACTCTTCTCTTTTGGTCAATCTTACAGTTGATTAAATTTGTCTTCGGCTCTTCTATGGCATAGGACAGTAATGTCTGTTTTTTCTGCCCTAACCAATAAAAAATGGCCGCCTGTCTGCGCGAGAAAATCCCTACACTTTCCCGCGTTGAGGAGTGGAAATTCTGATTTTTTATTATTCTATGTCAATGTTGGCACAGTTTTCTTATTCTGTAGGTTGCCAACTCTGATTCTACATTATCTGTTATCTGCAATATTCATAGGTTATATTTTGTTTTTATTGTCATAAGTAGTAAAATAATTTTTAATTGTTCCATTAGGTTTTGAAAAAATGGAAGAGGACAATAAGGACTCGATTATAACTCTGGAAGATTTTCCGTTTATTTGTCGAATTTGTTTGAGGCGAGAGGATTTGAGACCTTTTGAAGAGGAAGACTGTTTGTTTGACCTATTCCATGCAATCATGAAAATTGATGTGAGTGTTATATATTTTCCTTCCTACTATAAAAGTCGACTACCTTTATTTGACAGCTTTGAATGGTTTGAATAGAGGATTGATCCTTTTTTCCTCCATTGCTCTTATTAAACGAGGACAAAAATAGTTTTAATCCATTTTTGAAAGCTTCATTCATAAACGTACTCTAGTAATAGCATAAAATTCACCATTACAACATTCAGAAACATAGTAAAATCCATTAGGGCTGCTTTTAATCATATTTTTCATGTGTTTCATTTATCAGCTACACCAGTCTTTTCATCGTATATTCTTGTCACTAGTCGAGCTTAAGCCTTCGGCTGTTCAATTTTTATGGTGTCACGTAAATCTGGACTTCAACTTTATAGATAAGCGAAGTGCATGTGATCACTCCATCTGTTCGAACTCCTCCCTGACATATTCTTGTTAATAACCTTCTCATGAATTACATAAGGACCAACGAATAAAATGTAATTCTTACAAATGACTCGACATATTACAAATATCATACAATTCCTGTAAAAACGAATATATTCTAGATACTGTATTGCTAAATAGATGTATTTTGTACTGTATTACGAACGTAATGTGTGTTTCCTACTGTTTTTTGGGTATATAACCTTTAACTATCTGAAAAACTAACTAAGCTGAATCAGTAGAGAATCTGCTGAGGTATAATAAGGGGGAAACTGAAAAGTTTACCTCAAAAAGTTACTGCGTAATCTAAAAAAAGTAGAAACGTCAACTGGTTTCATTAAAAAAAATATAGTGATGTAGATAATGTACTAAAAACTAAAAAAATAATTCGGAATGTCCTTGGTAGCAGTCATCACACCACTCTCCTCAGTAATCTACGGTATTGATCAGATTGAAAAATAATAAAATCGCTGGGCTTAGCGTGACCTAATTAGCTTCGAATTTTGTTCCTCAATTCTTCTCATTCTGTCTAGTTCATTCAGTGCCTCAGTATTACAAGGTAATATGCAATCCGCCATTTTGTAGCTCCGGCCATCTTGAATTTGCATCTTTCTCAGAGTGCCATAATCTTCTACAAGTCAAGCCCCGTCATTTGATACCCATATTGAGGTAGTTGTCAACTCTGATGTGAGTTATCACCTTCTATTTTTGGTTTTCATAAATGATCTTCCGCAATTTTGTTCAAAAGCTTCCATTAGTATTATTTTTGCGGACGATACTAACATCTTAGTATCTGCGAGAACTATGACCGAAGTAATTGTCAAAAGCTAATGAAGTAACTGATCAAATTTCTGAGTGGTGTTCTATAAATGGCCTGCTGGTAAATTCTGCTAAATCTGAAATGCTCAACTTTGTTACTAAAAATACAACAATTGATGAAAGCTATTTGGTTAGAATAAATAATGAAACTTTACATCAAGTTAATTGTATCAAACTTACCTGGAAGTTTCATGTTGATAGTGTCAAACTGGAGCTCAGTCAACATATATATTTACTTCGTTGATTAAAACAAACAGTCTCTCTTGGTGTTTATTTATTTATTTAAACGGGATAAACCCCATTACAGTGTAAAAATTTCACAGAAAAAAAAGTATAATATAAAACATAAACTAATACGCTACGGAATGTTTCTGCAGCACACAACTGTATAACATTATAAAATACTTTAGGATATAGAATTAAAATTAAACTTGGTACTACTTTATGTAAACAATTACCAACTTAAATTATTCAATGATTGTTTAAAACGACTGTAAGAGACACCAAAAATATGTAGTAGATGACAAAAAAATGTTTTTGTCATCTACTAACTTTAGGGTTCTTTCCAAGGGAGTATGTTTGCCATAATTTGTATGATGGAAGGGTATATGAAATAAATGGCTGTGTCTAAGATTCCTGTTCGAAACGGAGATGTTCTCAAGCTTTTATACCACAGTTTAATTCACTCAGTATATGGTCTTTAACAGTGGGGCTTATCAGCTAAAGCTGATGAAGTTTTTGTTTTTCAGAAGAAGGTAATCAGAATTCTAGCTGATGTATCTTCAAGTAAACACTGTTTAAAATCTGATTTTCCGTTAACCAACTGTCGCACCTCTACGGACGGTAACCCTCAGAAGTCGAAACTTGTGCGAGCTAAGGATTAACGAGGTCTTACTTTTCAACGTGTGATTCCTAACACAATAATAAATATAAATTACAAGTATAGCTGAGGCACCAGTCAATCTTATAATGACACTGATGATCTCCAAACATGACTCAAAGTCTGACTGATGCACCAAACTCGAAATATATGAACACTTCAATCTAGCAGACCGCTATTGTAATCTTCATGTTTGCTCCCTTCCTTTCTTTTGAAGATTCCCACATTTTTTTTTATAAAACTGAAGAAGTAGAAAGCCAAAAACCCTTATTTCCCAAAAGGCTTATTGTTGTTACCACTAACGCATTTCAGAAGATTTGCCGTTTAGATAATTTTTCTTCGACGGATTTTATTGACTCAAGAATATGTTTTTGAAGGTCTGCTCAAGAATCAATTATCCGAAAAATGTGTGCGATGAATGCGTCAGTAAACTAGGAGATATGTCATTGTTCATTGATATTTCGAAGAATAGTGACTCGACGCTAAAGGAAAGCTGGATGCCAAAAAAGGAAATTGACTATGAAGAGAAGAGACAAAATTTGACGCAGAAAACCACTGATGATTCCGAGGGGGATATTTATAATCAGAGATCTCAAGTTTGTCAAATTTGTTTGTCTAAAAAATGCTCGATACTGTTTAAAGAGAAGGAACTGCTTGCGAAACTTTTTCAAGAAATTACAGAAGTTGACGTGAGTTTATATCTGACTTTTGTTTCACTCAAAAACGTTATATAATCGATTTTCAGTTCCCAAAGGAAAGTAGCGTATGCAGCAAATGTATTGCCAATCTGGAAGGTATATCAAGATTTATCTGTTCTACACTGAATAATCATAAAAAACTTGAAAGTGTTGTTGGTGCTGAAGTATCAGAATCTGAGAGACCGAAATCCTGCAATGAAATTGGTGGTATTGGAACAATAAATGAAGATACTTTCAAAATAAACGAATGTTTTGATGACAGCAAAATGAAATCTGAGATGATCGATATCAAGGAGGAAATTATTGATTGTGAACTTGCAACTTCTACTGAGCAAACCTACCAAAACGAATTGGAAGTTGATTCTCACTTTTCCTCAGAGAAAAAACTATTCGAAAATACTATTTTAAAAAAAAAATTGGATGAACGAGGGCCCTTTATGAAAAAGCGATTCGAATGTCATATTTGCAAAAAGAGTTTTACTAGAAAAGTCATTCTTGAAAATCATTTACGTTCTCATACTGGAGACAAACCATTCGAATGTCATCTGTGCGAGAAAAGTTATGCTTCAAAATATTCACTGAAATGGCATCTGTTTACTCACACTACAAAAAAAGCATTCCAATGTCATTTGTGTCAAAACAGTTTTGCTATAAAGAGCTATTTGACCAAACATTTGCGCATTCACAGTGTAGAAGAGTCGTTTGAATGTCATTTGTGTAAAAAACGTTTTACTCACAATTTCTCTTTAAAACAGCATATGTACTCACATACCGGAGAAAAGCCGTTCGAATGTCATTTATGTAATAAACATTTTTGTACTAATAGCATTTTGAAGCAACATATAATCACCCACGCTGGAGAAAAACCATTCGAATGTCATTTGTGTAAAAAACATTTTAGTACAAATATTATTTTGAAGCGACATATGATCACTCATACTGATGAAAAGCCGTTCAAATGTCATATGTGCAAATATAGTTGTTTTAGAAAAAGTGATTTGGAAGTTCATGTGCGCACTCACACCGGAGACAAGCCATTCGAATGTCATTTGTGTAAAAAACGTTTCACCCAGAATGGCCATTTGACGCAACACTTGTTCAGTCACACTGGAGAAAACTCAGGAGAGTGTCATTTGTGTAAAAAACATTTTAGTGCAAATATCATTTTGAAGCGACATATGATCACTCACACTGAAAGTAAGTCATTTGAATGTCATTTTTGTAAAAAACATTTCACTCAAAATCGTCATTTGAAGCAACACTTGCTCACTCATACTGGAGAAAAACAATTCGAATGTCATTTGTGTAAAAAACGTTTCACTCGAAATAGTTATTTGACGCAACACTTGCTCACTCATACTGGAGAAAAGCCATTCGAATGTCATTTGTGTAAAAAACGTTTCAGTGCAAATATCCTTTTGGAGCGACATATGAACACTCACTCTGGAAAAAAGCCGTTCGAATGTCATTTGTGTAAAAAACGTTTCACTCAAAACGGCTATTTGAAGCAACACTTGTTGAGTCATACTGGAGAAAAGCCATTTGAATGTCATTTGTGTAAAAAACGCTTCACACGAAATAACACTTTGAAACACCATATGTACTCTCACTCTGAAGAAAATCTGTGCTAATATCATTTGTGTAAAAAACGTTTTAGTGCAAATATCCTTTTGGAGCGACATATGATCTCTCACTCTGGAGAAAAGCCGGAATGTCATTTGTGTGAAAAACGTTTCACTCAAAATGGCTATTTGGAGCAACACTTGTCGAGTCACACTGGAGAAAAGTCATTTGAATGTCATTTGTGTAAAAAAACGATCTCTCACTCTGGAGAAAAGCCGGAATGTCATTTGTGTAAAAAACGTTTCACTCAAAATGGCTATTTGAAGCAACACTTGTCGAGTTACACTGGAGAAAAGTCATTTGTGTAAAAAACGTTTTAGTGCAAATATCCTTTTGGAGCGACATATGATCTCTAACACTGGAGAAAAGCCGGAATGTCATTTGTGTAAAAAACGTTTTGGAGCGACATATAATCTCTTACTCTGGAGAAAAGCCGGAATGTCATTTGTGTAAAAAACGTTTTGGAGCAACATATAATCTCTTACTCTGGAGAAAAGCCGTTGTGTAAAAAACGTTTTGGAGCGACATATAATCTCTTACTCTGGAGAAAAGCCGGAATGTCATTTGTGTAAAAAACGTTTTGGAGCAACATATAATCTCTTACTCTGGAGAAAAGCCGGAATGTCATTTGTGTAAAAAACGTTTCACTCAAAATGGCCATTTGAAGCAACACTTGTTGAGTCACACTGATTTGTCCTAATGCCACGATTTATCTGATATATAATGAATTCACCATGAATTTTGTACCAGTTCAGTTGTTCAAAAATGAATATGAAAAATCTGTTTGATATTCTTCTAATTCTTTGTCACAATCTGTACTCTCCAGGTACATCCTAACAAGAGATGTCAACATGATTCAAAATATTGAATAACTTTGATATCTCTCATTTTTTAAAACAAGTCATGCACTACAGAGCCTTTTGGGAAGTCCAAAAGACAAAGTCGAGAATTCGGAAAGGCCTGGAATTTACGAAATTGAATGTAAGGACTGCGATGCAAAATATGGACAGACAAAAAGATCTATTAAAGTAAGATATAAGGAACACATAGGACACTTGAAATATGGAAGACCTGAAAAATCAGCAGTCTCCCATCATATTTTGCAACAAAACCATTCCATAGACTTCAGTTCTTTAAGATTAGTTAGACAAGTTAACAACAACAGGCAACTAGATGCCTATGAGAGTGTAGAAATAAGTAAACACAATAATATTATGAATAACGATGACGGAACTATACCAAAGAGCCATACTGTATAGCTTGTTAAAAATAAAATAATGTTGGGTTAACTGATTACTACATAAGGACACATTGCAAAAATAAACTTGAATAGGCAATATTATGAAATTAATTTTTATATAGCTGAAAATTGTTTTATATAAACATATATTGTAAAATAATAGATAAGGCAAAATTGTAAAATTAATTTAGGTTGGTATACCTGTATGGGTGGTACGCCTGGATGGTTTACCTGTATGGAATACCTATATAGCATAAATAGGTTAGCTCGCATTAGTTTCTAGTTTTAATCACTTGGTGTTTGAAACACGTGTCCAGGTGTTAAAAACAATACTGTCCAATAAGGGGGAAGATTAAACTGTTTAATCTTCTCATCTGGGAAGATTAAACTGTTTAATCTTCCTCTTTGGGAAGATGATCATTTGTTTAACCTTTCTCTTGAAGATGATCACTTGGTGATCGAAACACGTGTCGAGGTGTTGAAAATAACGATTTGGTGTTGGGCAAAAACTCCAGTAATATTCATTATGGATCTTCATCAAGTAGTGCCGAATCAATCAGAAAAAAAACTTCGATATTAATTTGAACGCAACACAACAATCAAAATGTGACATGAGTCACATTTTGATTGTTGTGTTGATTGTGATACAACCAAGTGACAGACTAACCGGAAAGCCGAAATAATGATGAGGTTACAAAATGTGGTCGACACAGATCCACACATAAATACTCCGACAAGAACAAATCGTAAAAGCACAATGAAATCTTTGTTTTTCAAAGGATTCCATGAATTTAACCAGTTGCCTGCTTCAGTGAAAAATAGTTATTTCCTTTTTAGCTTCAAAAAAATCTCAGATGTTTCTTCATAATCAATCAGTGAATCTTTTTTGTTACTTCGTTCATTGAAAAACTGTTCTTAGTTTGTTGTAAAGATATTAATCTTAGGTCAACATATTTGATGCAATTATTTTCAATATCAATCAATCAACTTACGAAATTACTACTCGATTCATGTAGGAATATGTTTTAGTGCAAATATTTTCATTAGTTAATTTCAACTTGAAAAAAATTACTAATCGATTCATTAGGAATATGTATACGTAGTACATGTGTGCTCGCATAGAAAAAGTCTCATGTACAACTATTTCAACGGATCTATCTGACCATGAAGCTATAGAATGCTCCATTCTTTTAAATGAACAATTCGTCGCTTTTCATAACAAACTTTCAGAACTTTTCAGTGCATCATTTCCTATACAGAAAATGAAAATAAAGTGTAAAAAACCCTGGATAACACCTGGAATTAAGACGTCCTCAAGAAATCTACCGTAGATTTCTTGAGGTTCAGTTTAAATCCAGATTTCCATGCCTACTTTAATAACTACCGTAGAATTTAACAAACTATTCTCAAGCTTGTTAAATCTAGCTATTTCCGAATAATAAAATGAAGGAGACGTGGTCCATAGTAAATGACCTGAGAGAGAATCCTAAAAAAAGAAACAGTGTTAAAATTTCAATCAGTGAAGACGAGATCAATGAGTTCTACTGTTCAATTGCTCGCAAGCTTAATAATAACATAATCGTCCCTTACGACCCTCTTATCAATGTTCATAACTGTCATACAGGAGATACTTTTATATTATACGATACTAGGTTTGATGAAATTATCGAAGTGTTTAGGGATATTAGGAATAAAAAATTATCTGGATACGATGACATCTCCATGAATATATTTCAGAATCTTCCAAGAGTAGCGCTTGAAACTCTTGTCGCATTAATTAATCTTTCGTTTCGCAACGGTAAATTTCCTTCATTCTTGAAAAAGTCTGTGATAATTCCCTTGCACAAAGGCGGAAACTTAGATGATCCTTCTAACTATCGTCCAATATCACTTATACCGACCCTAGCAAAAATAATTGAAAAACTAGTGAAAAAAAAGGCTCAATGAATTCCTTATTGCTCATAAAATCATAAAAGAAAATCAATTCGGATTTCAGGCTAAAAACAACACCCAAGATGCAATTTTTTCCTTCCTGTATGAGGTATATTCAGATATAAATGCCGGAGATGTAGCTGCAGCAGTATTTTGTGACCTAAAAAAGACACGGCTATGAACGCATATTATGCATTAATTGAATCTCAACTGAGATATGCCATTTCTTTCTGGGGGGTATGTAACTCTACTCTGCTAGATTCAGTACTTAAACTGCAAAAGAGAGCCATTAGATATGTGTTCAAACTAGGACCGCGCAATTCATGTAGGCAGTTATTTGCAGAAAAAAATATATTGACAGTTGTGGCTCTCTTTGTAATAGAAACTGCATGTCTTATACACAAACATAGGTCAAAATTTGAATATATTTCTTCATGTCATAGCACTCGCCTGAAATCTAAAAATAATTTTAAATTACCATTGCCTTCTTCATCCCTAGTAAAGGACTCCATTTTCTATAACGGTGTTAAAATGTATAATCACTTACCGTCTCATTTTAGAAATAGCTACGATAGTATTGACAGCTTCAGAAAATACACAAAAAAACGTCTCGCGAGCAGACCCTATCATAGTTTGCAAGAATTTTACAATGACAACTTCCAGTGAAATTGTAATTTATTGTGGATACTGTATAGCATACTCGAGTAGGTTGTTAAATTATAAGTCGTAAAATTGACAAAATGTTCAAATAATATTTCATGATTGATATTTTATTTATTCATTGACACTTATTCTATTGAATAAAATGTATAATTGATAAATGTATATGTTATTTTTTTCTATTTTATTTATATTTTACATAATTGTGTGTATTTTGCCTACATTTTTTTTCTGTACGTGTATATTCTACTTTGTCAACAAAACAAGAGTTTTTTCGACAATAAAGTATATTTTGATTGATTGATTGATTGAAATCTGTTTGTTTTGTGAATATACTCACTTTAATTACTTTTTTAATGTCAGTAATGTATTTTCTTTTTAATTGTACTATATGTATATGTATTCTATTTATGCTTAAAATTGTTTTCAAGTGAATTTGTATATTAGGATTCCTATTTAAATAAAGATCTATCTATCGCTTGGGTAAAAATCGTTTTACTGAAAATCGTATTTTGGAGAAAGGCCGTTTGAATGTCATTTGTGTAAAAAATATTACACAAATAGTACTTTGAAGTGACGTACTTTCATTTACACCTTTCGTTCCTGAAAGACTTACTGTTGTTACCACTAATGCATTTCAGAAGATTTGCTGTTTATATACTGTTTTCTTCGACGAATTTTTTCGACTCAAAAATATGTTTTTGAAGGTTTACTCAAGAATCAATTATCCGAAAAATGTGTGCGATAAATGCGTCAGTAAACTAGAAGATATGTCGTTGTTCATTGATATTTCGAAGTATAATGACTCGATGCTAAAGGAAAGCTGGATGCCAAAAAAGGAAATTGACTATGAAGAGAAGAGACAAAATTTAACGCAGAAAACCACTGATGATTGTGAAGGTGATATTTACAATCAGATATCTCAAGTTTGTCGAATTTGTTTGTCCAAAAAATGCTTGATACTGTTTAAAGAGAAGGAACTGCTTGCGAAGCTTTTTCAAGAAATTACAGAAGTTGACGTGAGTATACACCTGATTTTTGTTTAACTCAAAAACGTTATATAATCGATTTTCAGTTGACGAAGGAAAGTAGCGTATGCAACAAATGTATTGCCAATCTGGAAGGTATATCAAGATTTATCTGTTCTTCCCTGAATAATCATAAAAAACTTGAAAGTGTTGTTGGTGCTGAAGTACCAGAATCTGAGAGACCAAAATCCTGCAATGAAATTGGTGGTATTGGAACAATAAATGAAGATACTTTCAAAATAAACAAATGTTTTGATGACAGCAAAATGAAATCTGAGATAATCGATATCAAGGAGGAAATTATTGATTGTGAACTTGCAACTTCTACCGTGCAAACCTACCAAAACGGATTGGAAGTTGATTCTCACTTTTCCTCAGAGAAAAAACTATTCGAAAATACTATTTTTAAAAAAAAATTGGATGAACGAGGGCCCTTTATGAAAAAGCGATTCGAATGTCATATTTGCAAAAAGAGTTTTAGTAGGAAAGTCATTCTTGAAAATCATTTACGTTCTCATACTGGAGACAAACCATTCGAATGTCATCTGTGCAAGAAAAGTTATGCTTCAAAATATTCACTGAAATGGCATCTGTTTACTCACACTGCAAAAAAGGCATTCCAATGTCATTTATGTCCAGATAGTTTTTCTTCAAAGAGTTATTTGATCAAACATTTGCGCATTCACAGTGAAGGAAAGTCGTTCGAATGTCATTTGTGTAAAAAACGTTTCACTCAAAATGGTCATTTGAAGCAACACTTGTTCAGTCATACTGAAGAAAAACGTTTCGAATGTCATTTGTGTACAAAACGTTTTTCTACAAAAGGAATTTTGAAGCGACATATTTCCATTCACTCTGGAAAAAAGCCATTTGAATGTCATTTATGTAAAAAACGTTTCACTGAAAATGGTCATTTGAAGCAACACTTGTTCAGTCACACTGGAGAAAAACCATTCGAATGTCATTTGTGTACAAAACGTTTCTCTACAAATAGAATTTTGAAGCAACATATTTCCATTCACACTGGAAAAAAGCCATTTGAATGTCATTTATGTAAAAAACGTTTCATTGAAAATCGTAATTTGAGGCATCATTTGCTCATGCACACTGGAGAAAAGCCATTCGAATGTCATTTGTGTAAAAAACGTTTCTTTACAAATAAGGCTTTGAAGCGACATATTTCCATTGACACTGGAAAAAAGCAATTTAAATGTAATTTATGTAAAACAAGTTTCTCTACAAAAGGCATTTTGAAGGGTCATATTTCCATGCACACAGGAGAAAAGCCATTTGAATGTCATTTATGTAAAAAACGTTTCTCTACAAAAGGCATTTTGAAGTGTCATATTTCCATTCACACAGGAGAAAAGCCATTTGAATGTCATTTATGTAAAAAACGTTTCTCTACAAAAGGCATTTTGAAGCGACATATTCTCGTTCACACTGGAAAAAAAGCCATTTGAATGTCATTTATGTTAAAGACGTTTCTCTACAAATAGTATTTTGAAGCGACATATTTCCATTCACACTGGAAAAAAGCCATTTGAATGTCATTTATGTAAAAAACGTTTCATTGAAAATAGTAATTTGAGGCATCATTTGCTCATGCACACTGGAGAAAAGCCATTCGAAAGTCATTTATGTTAAAGACGTTTCTCTACAAATAGTAACTATTTCCTTTTAAAACAGCATATGTATTCTCATACTGTTAAAAGACTTTTGAATGTCATTCATGTGAAAAACATTTTAGTACAAATAGCGTTTTAAAGCAACATATAATCACTCACAGTAGAGAAAGGTCATTTGAATGTCATTTGTGTGAAAAAAATTCACTCGAAATGATCATTTGAAGCAACATTTGTTAACTCATACAGGAAAGCGATTTGAATGTCACTTATGTCAAAAATATTTCTCTACAAATTATACTCTGAAGCAACATATTTTCACGCACACTGGAGAAAAGCTATTTGAATGTCATTTATGTAAAAAAACATCTTAGTTCAAAAAGCGCTTTGAAGCGACATATAATAACTCACACTAGAAAGGCCATTTGAATGGCATTGTATTAAAAAAATTCACTCGAAATAATCATTTGACATACACAGTTACACATTTTCATTCACACTGATGTTGGATTTGATAAAAATTAATAATAAAAGCATTGAATTAACGCATGTAGCCGTTAAAACGTGGTAGATCATCATGAAAAATGTGAAATGAAACTTTCTTTTTGAATTGAAAGGGTTATATTTTTAGGAGTGATTAATTTTTGGGAAAAAAAGTTTTTGGCTTTCTACTACTCCATCTTGATACAAAAAAAAGGGATGAGGGAATCTTCCAAAGAAAGGAAGGAAGTAATCAATTTCAAAATAAGTAACTCTATACATGGATGTGTCGATCATGCAAAGAAGTAACTTCCAGACACAAACTGAAAGAAAATTCTCCTGAAATAGCTACTTTCATATAAACATTGAATTACACGAAAGAAAAAAATTCTTTCGAAACAAATACTTTTTTTCTCTTTCCTTTCCCCCCCTTTTTTTTCCTCTTTTTTTTTTCTTTTCCTTTTTTTTTCTCCTTTTTTTTGTATCAACATGGAGTAGTGGAAAGCCAAAAACTTTCTTTCCCAAAAATTAATCACTCCTAAAAATATAACCCATTCAATTCAAATAAGATTCCTCTTGGCTGGGATTAAATCAAATAGGTGAGTGAATGTCATTACGATTTCATCGATGACATAAGCAGATCAAGCTTATTCTGTGACATTAAAAAATCGTAATTCATGAATGAATTTTGTGTATTTTCTATAATGTTATCCAATTTGGTACTGAAGAGCCTTGGGGCAAGTGTCTTAAGGCGAAACATCGGTGTATACCAGTGAGGGTGACAGTGTTCCATGTAAGTGCAATTTGTTACCATTCATTTAAAGTAAAACTCATGTGAATGATATCTGATTTTTATTCCACAACGAATGTTGTGCACCTAACCTATCTTCCTCTATATAAATAAATAACAAAACAACTGTTGTTTATGTGGCTTGTGGAGGTGGTATTGAACTATAATTTATATTTTGCCTCAATTGTTGATTTATAAAGATAACTTTCCTTTTTTTAAAGTAGAATATCTAGGTACGTATAAATTATTTAAACTTGATATAGGCGCTGTTGCCAATATGTGAATTAGAAACAAATCCCTTTAAAAATTAAAACCCAACATGAATTAAACTCCACTTTATTTTGTTCAAACTTGCATTTGCTGTAATAACCCAAATTGAGGAACATTCCTCATTGTATTTGTTTAATCCACTTGCTAGATAATCTGGTAGTTATCACTTCTTTTTCATCTATATAAAAATATTAATAAAAAAATCGTTAGTAACGAATGTATAAAAACCGCAATTGCTCTGAAGTGTGTTGAGCATATATTCATTTATTTATTAATATTGGACGTGACATCTGATGTACTAAATCAAAACTTTTCAGTACAGCAGTGTCCGATTTGTCGTCTCAGAGAAAAGCTGATTTGACAGATCGGTATACCTCGCTGGTTTCAAACAAACAAACAATAGTTTGTTCGTTTGTTAGAATAGTGAAAATCACTTGTCACAGTTGCCAACGAACATCTTTGTATTTTGACAGATCGGTTTGTTTATATTAGGAAATTTCAAAACGGGATTTAAATGTTTATAAATGCTTTCAATTTTATATTTCCTAACTTTTCCATTCATAATATAAATAGTTATTCTAACAGAAAAACTGATCTGGTAGATGATGGAAAAAAGTGAAAATGACCAGTCTGACATACATTTGGAAGATTTTCCCCACATCTGCCGAATTTGTCTGAAGAATGGAGAGTTAAGATCATTTGAAGGCGAAGATTATCTATTGGATCAGTTTCGAATCATTACGAACATTGATGTAAGTATTTCAATATATTTATATTATCAAAACTAAATGTTATGTACATGATGAAGTTTCACTTGTGTAGCATTCCTATCAATATTATCTGTTTTAATTGCATAACAGATATTTGGAGTACAGTCTGAACGGGAAAATGATTTTCCGGAAGTTCAATGTTCATGTGAAAGTAGTTGTTTTTAAAGTATTTTTCTTACCTTCAATTTAACAATCATATTAAGGTCATTGTTTCAGAAGTACTTATCATTATACTGTCAAACAGAATAACTGTAGGTATGATACTTCTTTTCTGAAGTATCTGAACAGCAAATTCTTTCTTGTAGGTCCATTCAACGGTCCATTATCCAAGAAATATATGCAAAGAGTGCATAAGCAGATTAGAAGATATCTCGTTGTTTATCGAATTTTCAAAATGTAGTGATGGTATGCTGAGAAAAAATCTTGAAAACCACGAAGAAGTAATAGAATGTGGGAAAGACGTTAAAACTGTTTGTCGGATCTGTTTGTCACAAAGTAACTTGATGCCTTTTGAAGTTACAACACATCTCATGGAGGTGTTCCAGAGCATTACAAACATTGATGTGAGTGTCCTCCAAATAACTTGTTATTTTAGTAATGATCATATTCCTAGCGAAACTTAATTTTTAATCACAGTTAAATATTGATTTTTTAATCCCAACTTCTTATTTTTTCTGTTCAATATTGCTTATTTCGTTGTTCCAATAAAGTTATCAATAAAGATGTGTCCTCAGCATACATAACGAATTGATCCCCATAAAAATCATTTACATATATTATATATAAGAGTGGACCTAATATAGAACCCTGAGAAACCCCGAGGAAACAATTTCTGATTCTGATTTATTTCTGCTAACCTCTACATAGTAGTATCTACCCTCTAAGTAACTTTCAAACTATTTTTTGTCGGTTATTCCCCTGATTCCATACATTTCAAGCTTTGTTAGGAGTGTTTTGTGATCTACCAGATCAAATGCCTTACTTAAGTCTATGAAAATCCCTAGCGTCTTTTTACCTTCATCCAACTCCCTATACACGTTGTTGAGGAACTGGGTAATCGCTTGACTTGTGGACAATCCTTTGCGAAAACCAAACCGGTTCGCATTAAATAGGCCCCATTTATTAAAAAAAGTTATCATTAGGCTTGAAACATGTTTTTCATATACTTTTGAGGCACTCAGGAAAAATCCCCTCTTCCAAGGAGCAACTAATCAAGTAGGTAACAGGTTCAGCCATAAAATTTATGCAAACCAAGAAAATGACTTCAATACAGTTTATATTTGGCCTTGAGAGTTCACATTCTTTGCTTTTTGTTTGTTGAGTAACTTGATACTATGGGGACCCCTTTCCTCTCATGCAGACCTACGACTTTGTAGGTACGTGTGGCAGATACCCAACGGAAAAACAACAACTAACCAAGCTAATGCAGCGCAGAGAGTTGAAGTAAAAACAATCAGGCACCTGTGCAACGTCTTCGATTTGGAAGGTTCGTCGCAAGTTATTTCCCACTATGAAAAGCAGTAATTAATTTCGTTTGTTCGATCCGACCAACCGATAGACCGGTTTCGGGGTGATTACCCCATTTTCAGTATCGGGCATGGTTTCTTCAGAACGGTGTGAACCGTCTGAGTTTCACGACCAAATGAAAATGATTCCAGCTAGTTATAGAATCTCTCTGCAGTTGATTCAGTGGGATGTTCACTGCGCCACCTGCAGAGAGGGCCAGGAAAGAAACTCCACAAGCATACTCCCACAAAGGAAGCTAAATTACTCAACAATTTCAAAAAAGTATTGAAGGAATTCCTAAACGACAGTTCTTTTTATAATTTCAAAATGTACAAAAATAAAATGGTAGAGTTACGATACAATGTACATAGTACATTGAGGAGAGCTTTTGAGAGAGATTTGAGGAGAGCTTTCGAAACAATTGACAGAAATATACGGAAATGAGAAATAACTATCTTGAAGGCAGAAAGAAAGAAAACAAAGAGTAAGAATCAATGGTACAATTTTAAATGAAATATTAAACGATAATGGAGTACCCCAGGGAAGTGTTTTGGGTCCCTTACTATTCATTATATATTCAAATGATATTAATATACATGTCGACTGTGAATTTATCAACCTGTTTGCAGACGATACTCTATTAGCTCGTAGTGATATAAGCCTGGATGCTGCTGTACAGAAAATGAATGTGATATTGCAAAAAGTTGACAAATATATAAAAATTAATAAATTGAAATTGAATGTGAGTAAACCACTGCCATGATTCTCACTTCAAAATACAAATATAAAAAAATCAATATAAACCAGATAAATATTTCTATTTATGATAAAAATATAAAAGTGAATAATACTGTAAAATACTTAGGGTTTCAACTGGACTGGACATACATTAGAAAATTTCGAAAAAACTATATTTTTACTCTAGAATTTCAAAGCATCTTTCTTTAAACACAAAGATATTAGTCTATGAAACAATTATACAACCACACTTTGATTATTGTGCTTCGATTTTATACTCTTTCAATTTGAACAAACAGGCCCAACTACAAAAACTATAAAATAGAGGAAGGAATGAGAATTATATTGAGAGGAAATCGATATACTCCCATAATTACAATGTTAACAACCCTAAATTGGCTTTCGGTATCCCAGAGACTTTTATAGCAGACAATGATATTTGTGCATAAAATTTTAATGATTTAACTGGAACATATCTTAAAAAATCTATTTGTTTTAATTATGATATTCACAAATATTACACTAGACATAATCTTGACATACATACAGGCTACTATTTGACAGTAGCGTTGTGACATTTTCCTAATAATATCGACATTTTCGTCACTTCAGAAGTTGCAAATACCTTCAAAACGATGGAACAAAACTATTCAAACGAAGTTCTTATGAATTTGTTTATTATTTTTGGACAGTGTGACAAAATTATCAGCAGAACATGTAGAAAGTTCAATGAAATGTATCCGAATCTACCGCCAATGAACCTCAAGAAATTTATACGAATTCAGAACAATTTCAATGCATTTGGAT